AATCAAATTTTAATTATTTCTGATAATTATTTCATGAGTTGTTACTCTTGATCAATTTTTACTGTTTTGTTAATGCCTACATTACCTACAAACAAATAACAACCTATCTTTCTTTTTAATGTGAAAATATAGTAAAATTACTGATATGTACACAACACGTGATTTACCTGAAGGACTGGAGTTCGGTGTTTTCTTCATATAAAAATGAACCTAAATCCAGTGGATTTGGATTAACAGCTAATCTGAAGTACATAAGAATTTCAAAATACAACTTCTTAATAAAGTGACTTGAGTTTCAATTTATCAGCAGTAAAATACTAATAATATACAGTCTGTCATAAACAAAAAAGATCAGATTTTAAAGCAATAGCAAGTTGTTTTTATCATAAAACAAGTAATGAATTTTACATTTTTAAAAAAAAAAAAAAAGATTACATTTTAAACGAGTAACCAGCCTTAGTCACTATAAAATACCTGAAATTTTTCTCTTCAACCCAATCATCATTTCTCCAGCTATCAACAACCCAATCTTCTACATTACCATTTTTACTGTAATATACATAATGTATGAACATTTTTACTGTAATATACTGAACAATTTTACTGGAATATACTGAACATTTTTACTGTAATATACATAGCGTATGAAGTATGAACATTTTCTTGGCTTTAAATGCTAATTATAAAGTCAATAATATGATAGATTTGCTTCAAGGCCACACCTACTAAAAAGGTTATAAAACATATTTTGGAAATCTTTGAGAAATATTAAATTGACTGTCAAGAACTATATGCAATATATAAATATCAACAAACCTTATCTCTGGAAGTAAACTTTTGTACTCTTCTGGAGGAAGTGTTTCTGGGAAATTTACCAGTATAGCAAGTCTGTAAAACAATATATTGCATTCAAGAGGTTATATTGTTATTAATTCATAAAACATAGTACTGTATTATTTGCTGGCGAGTTCTGATGCTTTATTAATTCAACTCATCTACTAGTAGGCCTACACATTCAGAACTGAGTTGACACACAGTCAAGGATTTCACACATCATTTTGGTCTTGTCAAGTCAAAAACAGTGTTTTCATATGTAACCTTGTTAACTGATATAGTTTGCTACTATAGAAGAATAACATCAATTAATATTTTCGAAATTAAAGCGACATTATGAAAGATTAGATAAAGAGCTGACAGTTCTTGCTATAATAGCAGATCAGATTCAAATCTAATGAAAATCGGAGCCATCAGCTGGCATTGAGAGTTGATTATGGTCTTGTCATGTTAATAAATGTCTAATTAATAATTTATATAACATTTCTGGCCTAAAAAAAGACTTGCAATAGGCAGATTTAGCTCTTGCATAATGTATGTTTAATAGAGAGAGGGGTCTTTAGCAGTGGGAGGAAAGCCGGAGGGCCCAGAGAAAACCCATGAGGTTGGACAGGCGACCCTACTCCTTGTCACATACAACCAGGGAAGCGAAACCACGCCAGTTGACTCAATGACAGATCTTATGATACAACGTGCATGCGCTAACCATTCTGCCATCCATACCCCCCTCTGTTTAATAGAATAAATTATACCTGTGAGGTAAAATATCTTCACTATGAAATGTAAATAAAGAGTGTAAAGCATCACAGTCACCATTCTATTGAAAAAAAAAATAAAAAGAAATTTAATTCCAGATACTTTAATAATGAAAAACAAACCATGATGGAAACAAATATCAAAGTAACTTGAATTCCCATTAAAAATTGCATTAATAATTAAAAGATTTACGCAATGACACAATTATTTGGAATACAAGTTACTTTGATGTTTACTTCTGGAGGTTTCTCTCGTCTTTATCAAGTATTCATGCTACTTGTATTCCATATAATTGTGTTTTATATTTAGTTACTTAATGCTGCTTAAACAATTCATTTATGCAAATATAATGTAAAAATACAGTATGTAAAAAGGTATCTTTACTTACTCTGGCATATCCTGCTGTTAGTTCTACAATATTCTGTGAACGGAATTCCTTAAAGAAATCTGAATTAAATCTCCCTGGTGCTGCAACTGGTCCTCCTAATATACACTAAAAGTATAATATATACTATTCAAAAAAAGTAGGGGATATTTGATTTTGGGGGCATAATACTAAAATATGCAAATGACTAGGAAAAAAGTCACTATAGAACCTAACAGAAGAAACATTTCCAGTTACATGTGACGCCCAAACGCACCAATAGCTACCGCATGGAATGCAGGTGATGCTTGGGATCATCATGGGGGTCCAACCCAAGATTTGCACGACTCTGACTTTGAATGTTACAGTCATTGTGGCATTGAATTCCAGGGTGGAAACATCAGTTTAATTGTTTTAGTGACCAGAAAACAAATTTTGATATGCGTCGGCTTACCCAAAATGAAAGGTTACGTGCCCTTGGCATGCTACAGATCGGCACAACACAGGCGGTTGTGGCGCGGACGATGAATGTTTCTCAGTCTGTCATAAGCAGGCTATGGTCCAGATACCGTGATACACAATCTGTACAGGACAGACCACGCTCAGGTCGACCAAGGGCGACAACTCAAGCCCAGGATCGATTTATCCGTACCTTGGCCTTGAGAAATCGTGTCATCACAGCAAATCAGATCAGCGCTCGTCTTCAAACAGACACTGGTGTGAGAGTGAGTGGCCAGACGATTCGGAATCGACTGCATAGGGGTCACCTTCGCGCCCGACGTCCTCGCGTGATCCCTTGTTTGAGAGATCATCACATTCAGGCAAGACGTCGTTGGTGTAGGGATCGTCAACACTGGGATAATCGACGCTGGAGCAATGTGATGTTTTCAGATGAGTCAAGGTTCACTGTTGATTTTTTGGACAGACGTAGGAGGGTGTGGCGTCGTCGAAACGAGCGCTTCCAAGACGTTAACGTCATCAGACATGATCGATTTGGGGGTGGTTCTGTTATGGTGTGGGGAGGCATCACTGTTGCTGGAAGAACGGCTTTACATGTTGTTGCAGGGCGTGTTACAGGCCAGTACTACCGGGACAACATCTTGGCAGTCCATGTTGTGCCGTTCGCACGACGTCATGGCCGCCGTTTCATCTTCCAGGATGACAACGCAAGATGTCACAGGGCCAGGATCGTTACAGGTTACCTCCAACAACAGAATATCACCACATTACCTTGGCCAGCACTGAGTCCCGACCTCTCCCCCATCGAGCATGTCTGGGACATGCTTGGACAGAGGTTACGTCAACGTCAACAACGTCCTGCCAATGTCCAAGAACTTGCTGCTGCGTTGCAACAGGAATGGGACAATCTGGACCAAAATGACCTTAGACGTCTCATTAGGAGTATGCCACGTCGGATCAATGCTTGTTTGGCAAACAGAGGAGGATTTACCCGTTACTGACTTGGTTGTGATGCTGTGGTAACTTTGCTGTTTGACCCCGGGTATCATTTTACCCTTATAATGGTCAGTCTGTGCCTTACTTAGTCTAACGATCATTTGGAATAAATCGATGAATGTGAACTTCATTTCATTTTGTCATTTGTTTCTTCGTCAGTTTCATTAGGTGACTTTAATAACACTTAAAAATCAAATATCCCCTACTTTTTTTGAATAGTATACATACATGTATAGTCATATAAACCAAGTATTTGATTCAATACTATTTATAACGTGCCTAGAAATAACTGTATACATAATGGCGCAAGGACTATGATGGACTCTAACGATTTTTATTGACATTCTCAAACTGTATCTTTTATCAATCTAACAAGTTTATTGACAGTCTCAAACCTTAGTTTTATTCACCTGCCAATAGTGACTTAACTCTGTGTCTAACACCAAAATCATGTATAAAAATAACAAAATCTAAGTTATCCTTGAATCAAGGGACTGTCATGACATTACAAAAAATCAAATACTAATTATATAATTATTTGAGCTCAGAATTAACTGATGTAAATATGAACAATATATTGTGAACATTGAAAATTACCTCATATGTGCGTAATCTGTCTAAGTATTGTAGGAAACGTAATCTAGCACGACACAACTCTTTCTGTTCCAGATTTAACCTGTTTAATATAAAATAGTGAAATAAAATAGCTATAACAGTACATTAAAGTCCTGATGAGCCATTTTAGCACTATAAAAATCACATATGAATTTCTGCTGGGAATATAGGTCCAAAAATGGTTTAATTCCGTTCAGTATTTACAGAAATATGTGGAATTGAAATTTCACTGACATATGCTCGTTTGCCATGTAATAAGCCGGACGCCATTTTGTTATCCGCAAAAATTTATTGGTAGGCCTTTTTTTAAAATCCGAATGAATCCAAATAATCAATCTAAGTACATATCAGCGTGGATTAAGCCATGAGAAATTTGATATTTTAGCAAAAAATGTAAATGGCACATTGTTCAGTCGGCATAGATTTCTTTAAAAAAAATATTATAAATGGATGAGAGATGAAAATCATCAAAATCACAATGTAGTGAAATCAACTTAAACATTAATTTATCATAATGCATTCCACTAGTGGAATAGTTCAAAACATTTAGATTAATGTACATTATACTCCTTAATAGTTCTAGCTGCATTTATACTATGAATAAGTTATTCTGTATTCAATTAGTGGTGTCTATAGTGGGCTTCTTACAGTGCCATTAATCAAAAGGAATGGTTCTAACATATTGCATACTTTTGTCTATAAAATACACTTACGTTTTAACATCTACTTGATTTAACAATTCTTGTATTCTTTGTTGTTTTCTTTCTTCTCTTTCTTCTTCCGCTCTCGGATCAAATTCATCATACGACATATCTTCATATAAACCTTCTTCTGGATCACATAAAATAAACCTAATACAAAATAAATACATGAATAGTCAATTATAAAAGCAAGCATGGGTTTTATCTTAATTCGTTTAGAATGATACAGTGCAAATGAAATCAAAATGGGTTTAACATTTTACTTGTTAAACATTCTATATGTCATCATACGACATATCTTCATATAAACCTTCTTCTGGATCACATAAAATAAACCTAATACAAAATAAATACATGAATAGTCAATTATAAAAGCAAGCATGGGTTTTATCTTAATTCGTTTAGAATGATACAGTGCAAATGAAATCAAAATGGGTTTAACATTCTACTTGTCAGCACCAACAGGGCTAATAAGAACGGGCATATGCAAAACAGTGTTCTATGAGGACAATTTGGCATGGAGAGCGGCGTTTCCACCAACACTTCTCCAAATTTTAACTGCCAAGGGCTCTTTTATGTGCATGCCAATGTGTACAAATAAAGGACCTTTGTTTTTCATCAAATCTGAATGATTAAATGTTGTTGTTCCTTGCTGAGCCCTTCAGTCCTTGCTGCACCAGACACGTTGAAACCAGCTGAAAAATTGTGAGGAACTTTCTCAAACAACACCAGGATTGAACCTGTAACCTCTTGGTTAGTGAGCCCGTGCTTTATTCACTTTGACACCGTGGCTCTTGACAAATTTAGAATCAAGTCAATATGTAAACTATCCCACAATTAAAAAAAACATTATTAGGCAATTTAAAAAAAATATTCTGGATCTCAGATACTTATACGTCACTCAAAAAGAGCCGCATGACCTGTTTATATTTCAAAAAATAAAAACGGCCTCATTAATTACCGCTTGTGAATGTTTTCCCAGGGTTAAAGGAAGCAACTCTATCAAATAATTCAAATGAATCCGGAAATGTAGTTTAATGTACTGTAGGCTCAATTATCAAATTTGCAACACTGACAATCATAAATCATACTGGATAATCATAAATCATACTGGATAATCATACAATCAACAACATGATGCGATAAATGTAGTGTTTTGAAATGTGAAGTTTATGAGAAGTCATTTAACCCAGTACCGATTATTTGACAAAATAGAAACACAAAAACCTTCCTGCCGCCATAGATTTTTAGGAAGGATTGTCTGAGAACCAGAATATTTTTTTGGGTATGGCCTTATGATTACCTTCCACCATCTTGACCTTGACCTATAGCTATTAAAGCTGGCAAATCAGTTCCACATAAACCATAATTTAATAATTCTCTCATAGCATCAATATTATCTGGTACTCTTTCTAAACATTCATGTAATACCCAGGATCTTTTACTAATTTTACTCTAAAATAAAATAGATATTAAACATACTGGGTTTAAATCCGATTGGTAATATTTGTTTTACACAATTCCAATAAGGGAAGATTTTACAACTCTAATTAGACCGTTTAATTCTGAAAAAAAAAGATTGCCATTGGAGGGAATTTGAATCACTTGCAAACTATGATGTTATGGAAGTTGAATCTCTTCTAAAATAGTAAGTCCAGGAGGACCGCAGCCAAAAAATGGTTGAATGAAAATTTAGCAACATTCGACATCCTTAGCAGACGTTATAAACAAGACTATAAAACCAGTAAGTGTTGTGTAAAATGTCTTGAATAGCCTCTTTTAATCAATCTATCTATCTGTAAAAAGCCTTAGCCCATAATATTACTGTATTGTTGTTATTTACCAGATAATCTTGTATAGAAGCTACAGAGACTGGTGATTTTCTCCATCTTCTCTGATAAACTAGATCACAATCTAAACCATATGCCTTGGCTAAAACCAACGCTTCACCATACTCTTCATTATCTATCTATAAAGTAAATAAAACAAACATATTCATTTAAACTGAATAGTATTTCCAGAAAATCATTCAGAATAGTAGTGCCACAGAAAAAATAATCTAGCTAAGGTACCTACTCTGAGGGAACCTTTTTGCAGATGGCCTTGATATTGAGGCACTGGAGACAAACAACCCGAAAACTTGTTTAAAATTTCAGACAAGTAGAAGCTGATAATATGATTATGTACAGACTGCTAATAAGATTTACAAATCCATAAGATTAGGTTCTATTGGCCATTATAAATGTACAATATGTCGGTTACATAAATATCAAATTATGCATTTTAGAGTATTTTTTTGCAAAATATTCTGATTGGAAGCATCTAATATAGTGGCATACATGTAGTGTCTTGAAGATCATAATAAACAATAAAACATACTAATTCTCCAAATATCCATGCCATTCCTATTTTAAAGTTGGTCTAAAGATTTCTAGTATACTAATTAAGAAATTGATAAATAATAAATATAATATATATATTTAATACCTTTCTTGCATACAGTTCTTCTGGTGTAGTAGACCTCAGTGAGATCAGTTTATATGATTTTGTCACATGACTGAAAATAAAATATAACTTCTTTTATATGCATTTAGTAATTGAACATATTAACACAACATACAACTTTATGGATACACAATTACTAAATTTATTACTTTGTTTATCAAGCAAATCAATGTAATACGGAATAATCCATAAATCAAAAAACACAAAATAAGTTAATATAGGTCATCTGCTTGAAATCTACACCAAAACTATGTATAATCTTTTAAAAGCATTTAGTAACTGAATAGAGCAATAAACTGTAATAAATACTTAGGGAAAAACAGCTACTAATCTATTTGGGCAATGTTTCCAAGAGTATTCTCTCTTTAAACTTGTCCAAATAAATTAGTAGTGTTTTTCCATAAGTATTAGATATAGTTTAAGAGTGCTTTTACAATGTTGTCAACTGAAAATGAAATGAAATGAAATTTGGTTTAACGTCCTACTGTTCTGCTTCTAAACTGGGCTAATGAAGACGGACATGCGCCATACAGTGTGCTATGAGAGGAATTTTGCCCGGGCAGTGGCACTATGGCCTACACTTATATCGAATTCCAACTGCCAAGGAATCTTTCACGTGCACGCCAATGTGTACACGGGACCTCAGTTTTTCGTTCCATCCAAACAACTAGACAGCTGTCCTTGTCAGGCCCTCCGTCCTGCATCACTGACAAGGGGAAACCTGTTGTCAACTGATGTTATATATAAACAGAATAGTCACTCCTATCAGTTGTACCCACAAGATATACTATAGCTCTTTTTAATATTAATTACTAACATGGGCTTCTTTCGTGGTGGACGGAATCTTTCACTATCTGTTAAATAATGTAAAACTTGTTTTGTATATCTGGTTGCCTTGGTAACAGCTGTAATATCCTCTTCATCACTATCTTCAAAATCATCTGATGTATCTAAAATACTTCTTTCTGGTAATTTATAGTCACACTACAAATAAAAAATAAGTTTTTTACATAATTCACAGCAGGTTGATTTTTATATTACATTCTGTATAGCTCTTACACATGTACATTCCTTTATGTATGTTTCAGGCCCTGGTACTTTTCACTATGCAGAGTTCCTACCTGGGTTTTCACTTCCAAATTTTGTCAGCCAGTCTACTTTTCGTGTATCATATTTATCTCTCATTTTTCAAAGAATATGACATCATCTAACTTTCTAAATCAATATCTAAGTCTTTATATATATAAAAACTATGAATTTAGCTGTATTTATTGTGTTTCAGGTTATTAAATTCTTTGAAATAATGAATTTTATGGCATATAGGTGACAAAAGCCCGAAAACTATCAACCGTCCAGTTATATATAAAGTCAATAATATCAATCTCTTTTCATCTGGGGGATTGAATGGGCAAATGGTTAGCGTGTGCATGTTGTATCATAAAGTCTGTCATTGAGTCAACTGGCTTGGTTTCTCTCTCTATCTCTCTTTTTTCATCCTTCCTACAGGTTGACATATATATGTACAACTGAAATATTATAAATGTACTAGTAAAAGAAAATGGATTGCCATGACTACAAGTTCATATACAAATTAATTACCTCTAATCCCAGGAATTCACCTTCCAGAGTTTGTGAAAGTCTAAGAGACGGTGAGAACCATTCTGGTGATGGTCCGAGCAGATTATATAAAGTCTCTATAGATGATATAGTTAAAGCTCCGGTACAGCGCGATAAAATCAGAGCCTGTGGAAATAACAGTATATCAACTATTATACATACAATCTATATACAAATAGTATATACAAAATTATAGACAGTATATCCAAAATTATAGATAGTTATTTTATACGTAATGCATTTGAGAGAGTTGTTAAAACAGCTCTCTCAAATCCATTACGTATAAAATAGTAACTTCACTGTCCTTTATAAACAAATCAATAGTTACAATAAACTCCAATGCTGCAATGAAATAGCCCCTAGCTAAAGTATAGTAGGTGGGTGGAAGAATCTCTGCACGTTGCAGTCTAAGTAGGATCTCAGTGATACAGTTGAGTATTAAAAAGTAGACAAACCAAAGTCAACAAACTTTAAAAGACAGTGTCGAAACTAAAGTGCAGTCTGTTGGTTGGGGATTACTATCATTGGACATCTTTACTTAGATGTATATTGGAAATGATAACAGCACATGATGTATATAAAAAACATTTACCTTATTGGACCAAAAGTTCAGATCAAGAAGCTGTTTATGAGGAACCAGTTCTGGAAAAATAGAATTATCAAATAGAATTATTGTAAGTGTCATACATTTTGATTAATAGACTGAAACATAAGCTTTTTATTTATACTGTCAATGTATACATTCTATAATTTCAAACACAATATCATAGTATAACTATTACTACAGCTTTTCACATATTTACAAATATTGTTAGAACAAAGATTGATAATATTTATAGAGACAAATATTAACCTTTCATGACCTTTCTTTTCTGTCTATTTATAGTTTCTTCTTTAGTGTTCACTTCATCTAGAAATGGCTGCAATAGAGAACATATCAATCTGATTAAAACACAGATCCTATTTCGTTTCGTTTTTTATAGTTCAAAATTTCGTTCTACTTGTCTTCACAACACTAGGATCTGGAAGAGTTGATGTATAACAGGTGTTCTAGTTGATGAGAGGAATAAGCCAATGAAACGGTCTGTTACGGCGAGTTCTTGGTGTGATCTGCACAGAACTGTGGATAAACCCCTAGAAATGTCAACGCTGATTGATTAATCAATGTCTGACATCATAGGGTCAAAAGCCACTTGTATGACCCCTGGCGCGACCTCCCAGCACAACTGGTCAGATCTTTATGTAGTGTAGGCCATCGGAAGCATAAAAAAAGCGAAACGAAATATAGATTTGTATTTTAATATAGCCATATGAAATGGTTCACAACAAGCCCTTATTTGGGTTAAAGTATTTATTGTTTACATAAAGCTCATCATCAAAAGCAGTATATACCTGTTCATTATGTAGCCAAGATTTGCGTAGTCGTAGTGATGGTGCATCCCATAATGACAGTTTTCCAGAATAATGGATAACAGCTATAATATTTCCATCTGGAGACAAGCACATTTTATATATACCATCCTAAAAATAAAAGGTAAATATACACAGCTGTACATTTGAATATCAAAAAGTTATAAACAATGCATTTCATTTAAAACTACACAGTTTTTAAAGGAATAATCTGAGATATATTGTGGAGAAACATACAAGTTAATTTGGTGTGAAAGACTCTTTGAAATCTTTATCCAAGCTCTGTCCAACTATCTGAAACTCTGTGGTAATTTTTCACAGAAATACATGTACAAACTTTTAGTTTTCCATTCATGGTTGGTCCATATCCCCATTTGTATGGAGGGCATGTCTATGTGGTGACAATGTGATCATTGTGAATATCAAGTCACTCATACAACTAACTGTACAATGGAATTCCTGGAATGAGTTATAAAACACTGTGAAGCAAATCCAGCAATCATTTTCAAATGGCTCAATATTTTGAGCTGAAATTCCTGTAAAAGGTATTTCTTCATATTCTTAGTTTAAATTTGTACATGAACAAATATTATCAATGAGTACCAAGGTGAAATCTTCAACGGCACTTTGTTCTTGTCATTTTAGAATGAAGACAATCTTACTGATGTATATGTACAAAATATCTATAGCTAACCTGGGTTTCACTTGAAAAGTTATAAATAGAATAAACTCGTAATTTCTTCCACATAGTACTACTCTTCTCTAGCTGAAATATACATTAAACATACATAATACAAGAGCTAAATCTGCCTATTGCGGGTCTTTTTTTAGGTCTGAAATGTTATCTAAATTGGGGATCACGTGGCTAAGTGGGTAAGACGCTAGCTCGCTAGCCTGGAGGTCGGGTGTTCGATCCCTGCATTAGCCGAGAAAGTTCATCCAGATTTTCCGGCGTGGTTCTCCCTTGTCAGTGATGCAGGACGGAGGGGGCTGATAAGGAAAGCTGTCTAGTCTTTCGGATGGGACGAAAAACCGAGGCCCTGTGTACACATTGGCGTGCACGTAAAACTTCCCTTGGCAGTTGGAATTCGATATAAGAGTAGGCCGTAGTGCCGCTGTCCGGGCAAAATTTCCCTCATAGCACACTGTATGGCGTATGCCCGTCTTCATTAGCCCAGGTTAGGAGCAGAACAGTAGGACGTTAAACTCCATTTCATTCATTCATTCGTTATCTAAATTATTATTTAGACATTAATTAACTTATCTAGACCATAATCAACTCTCAATGTCATTGCTAGCCTACGATATTTACTGGACTGGAATTTGATTTGCTGCTCAACGCTCATTGATAATTAAATCAAAAAATGGATAATCGAGACTATGTTTTTTTTATTGTACCGACATTAGTAAGGATGATCGAGGCTAGACCTAAAATTCAATCGCTAAATTCTCGGTTCAGACAGGATCAATATGACTGAAATTTTCAGCAAATTGCCTTTACATTATCTAGTTTTTAACTATTACATTGAGAACTGCCAGCTCTTTATCTAATCTCCTATAATGTATCTTTAATAAAATATCTTTGTCTTATCATCAATGTATTCTATTCTCATTCTGAATTTGATTAGTTCTGCCTATGTTAATTCTGACAAGCTACTTAGTTGTGATGGATACTATGCATGGGACAAAGCATGCTTATTGCGTCTAGAGCATCAAAAATCTACTTGTAACTGGGCTTATGTATACAGGAGGTGTTGTCACCTTTCCAGTTTATGACAACTACTGTACTAGACATACCTGATAAATATCTTCACTATAATCTGTTACTAGTTTATAATGTGGTGTATCAGATAATATTCTCCATGCTGTAATTCCTTCTTGTGTAGCTTTAGATGATGTTTCACGTTCTGACACTCCCAGTCCACCAACTAGTAGTAGCTTATGTTTAGGATGATATATCACAGAACTAACTCCAAGTGGATAATATTGAGAAAAGACGAACGAGTGCTGTAACGTAAAACCATTATCTCTATCACAGAGATAACTCTTTAAACTACCATGATAGTTGATAACAAGTAACTCACTTTGTCTGAAATAGTATAATAAAAAAATCTTTCATTTATTTTAAAAAAAATTATTACATGGCAGTACACATTATTATTGCCAGGTCAATTTAACAATTATTTTATAACATTTAATTTAAATCAAAGATATTTTTTTATGTTACTCCACATAAATTACGTTATTCTAAATTGACGAAAGATAATATTCTACATCTGGTAAAGAGACTGCTACGAAAAATATCAGCATCCATTTGCTTTTGCATGTTTCCATTATGAATTTGACTTCCCTTTTGGATTTAATTTGCCTTACCCGTTTTCATAATGTGTATGTGTGGTAAAAACAATGGCTACAACAGAACTACTGTGATCCAAATTAGCTGTCTCAGAATCAGCTAAAACCTGTGAGAAAATATGAAAAAATATAGTAAGAAATTCATATTATTTGCAAATATATTAAAGACTTAAGAAAACAGTTTAAATCGCTTAAATACTGACATTACAGATTCATAATGCTTCTCTAAAATACAGAAATTCAAACAACCAGTTTTATAAAGACAGAAAAAAATAGGATTGTAAGTGTCAAAATTAGCCATATTTATAGCAAAACTTTTCAGGAATTCTCTCCATTACAGGCTGCAATGGCTTGATTGACAGTGCACACATTCTCACAATGCCTATTTTTTGCCTGTGTGTCTTGTGTTTTCTAGTTAGTTGTTTCTTCTTTGAGCAGCATTTAGCCATTGATATACATAATAAACACACTAACATAATAGTAATTGTGTTCCATTTTATGTTATTGTGTTTTCATGTTAGTAGTTGTTATGTGTAGTGCTGTCCTCCTCCTTCACATACTATGATGACCTCAATTTCAACCCCAGTTGTAAATCACAAAAACACAAAATCAATGCTACTTACGCCATCTATGGTAAAGAGATGAGTTCCGACAATATCAAATACATCTACAGTACCATTACTTCGAGAACAAGCTAACATAGAATCATCTGGACTCCAAGCTAAACATCTCCACTGAGGGTTAGGATCAAGAGGTAAAGTCCCTTTCCCCACTACATCATAGAAATCTCGGTGAGATCTATAAAAAGGACAAACAAATAACATATACCTCTTTGAATGGCTTGTATTAGAAATTGAACAATAAAAACTAAATAAAATATATATAAATATAACATTTCGATGATGGTACTCTCATGTTTATCATATCAAGCAAATGATAAAGAGATGAACACTAATGTCGAAAACGTTGCATATTAATAAATCAGCAAAACACATCAATCCATGGCAAAGAGGCTAATCAAGTGTACACTTCAAAGTTTCTCTTATTTGAGTCAGACCAAATAATAGATGTTATGAAAATTTATTCTATAACTACATGCAAATACAAGCAAATATCATTGAATACAGCCATTGAATACAGCCATATTGAATAACCCATGGTTGTATTCAATGGCATCGACAGGGACTCTTTTTCCAGAATGACGTCACTTCCAGAATGATGTCACAACTCTAATGATGTCACTACCTGGCAACCATCGTTTAATTGGTGGAACCTATGATTTATTTTGATGATATTGGTGATGATTTTTTTTTATAATCTGTCTATTGACATAGAATATAGTTATAGAATAAATACAGAACTCAATGACCATTGAATACTGCTTGGGTTATTCAATCGTTCACTTGAGTGTATCCCTGCCATATTCTTGCAAAGGGATTTACTCTCGTGAACCATTGAATAACCAGATCGGTATTCAATGGTCATTGAGTTCTGTCTATATTTAACAAGTAGAGGGTACACCTAATCCATCTGTATCTTACAGATGCATTTAACATCATCAATAAATCAATCATGTAATATGTTCAATTTACCTAATTTCAACACAGTTCTCTTGAAGTACAGCTACAAATCTTCCTTCACTGAATATAAACAGAAATGTATATATAGTAGAATTATGTACCGAGACAAAACTTATTGATAAGATTAGAAAAGAAGCCTATAGTAACAGAATTACAAGCAGAAAGATAAGCTTTAGTTATTACCTGCTAACAGCTATATGCCAGTTGATTTCACTGTTAACCAATTTCATTAAGGCTTCTGGCAGTATGCATGGTGTTGGTGTTCTGAAATGATATAGTATATGGTAGTTGAGAAATACAGAATTTGTACCAGCCACATTTTTATTAACAATATATGAATGAACAAATGTTCCATATACAGACTTGATATTAAATGATAAAGCAAGGAGTACATGTTGGCCTACTTACTGCAATTGTACACCTAGTTTCCTTAAAAAGGTCCATGCTGTTCCTGAAAATATAATAAAATGCATGTATACATCATTAACTATAACTAACATTATAAATAACATCAATGTGCTCAAATTACTACAAGTACTACTTAGTATAATAAGTGTCTCATCTACATCCACCCAAAAAGTTGTTTTTCCTTTAGATGTACATGTTGCATAGTTTGTAAGGAATCTTTACATTTGATCACATTACTGATTGGGGTCCATAAAATTTTCATTTTTTTTTTATTTTATCTTATAACATTATACACAGAGCTTGTAAATCATTACTTTGTAAAGCAGCTGATGTTCTTCCTATCAAAGATCCAGTCTTAACATGTGGTGCAGAAGATAATCTTGTCTGAAATATAAAGAAACATTATTCTACCATCTTGTGAAAGGCATACTAATCTGAAAATATTTTTACTCAGCTCTGGTGGAAATGCCTTGGATGGAATCCATGACAACTTGGACCAAAGACCACTCAGACCAAGACCAACTAATAGTAAAAACTAGCTAATTTCATGACTTAACCTACACATAAATGTACCAGATATTTGCCTATTGTAAATAGGATCTTTTTTTATTCTAATTAGGCCTACTGTTAGGTTTATTAAGTCTATAGACACTTGCCCAGGGCTTGGTTAGGATCTTCAGACTTGCTTTGGTTTTCAATAATTATAGTCTAAGATTATTCTAATTTTGATAAAGCCTGAGGCAAAGACAAACAAAAACTATTTTCTTGGAAGTACTACAATGGAGTACAACATGAGACATTTCAATAATTTAAATTTGTCAACTCACTGTCATCAACTTCTTCTTGGTTCTATTTTATTTAGGAGAGGTGTGTGGGGGGGGGGGGGTGGATGGTGGTGGTAGGACTCTTTATTTAAACCCCCTTAAATAGCAATTTACAGCAGGAGTTTACTGGACTATGACAATGTTGCGAATAGTAAATTAAAATTAGTGAAACTTTTCGGTAGTCCGACCAAGGGGAGATAACCATTATTACTGGAAATTTTTCACTCCGAGTAGTGGACATCTGCAGCTGCCCGGTGTCATTTTTAATGATCCATAATGGAAGTAATATTTGATTGCAATCAAAATTGATATGAATGAATCAAGTAAGTAAACCTACAAATATTTCATTCTCGATCACCCATTCAGCTTGCACAGATAAGTCGTAGAGAATGTTTTCTTCAATATTTTCCTCCACGTAGTCTTCTTGAGTCGCCATATTGGCGATTAAAAGCCTCCAACCAATTGGTTGTGGAGTAATGTTTTGTTTGTTTCGCCCACTTGCACAATAATATAACTTGTTTACATAAATGTATTAATATTCTTTAAGATTTCGATTTTTGTTTTACAATATAAAACGATGACATTCCGGTTTGGGAAAGACAATACTAAACATTGCCATTCAGCAATATTTTATTAGAGAGTATTTCTACGAATGTGCCGTATAAATTATCACTAAATTTTAAAGAGATTAAATGTGATTCTTTATGTAAAAAATGTGTTTCTGACAGTTCTCTCTTGTGTATGGAATACGAAGGTCTGATGCATTCCTGGCTTATCCGACTGCAAGCAACTGGAAAAATGGTCTTACTTCGATAGACACAGGTTGGCCTAAATTAAGAAGAAAAAAACCAAACCCGTGCACTTTTGTAAGAGTTGTCTCCCATTAATTAGGCAGTTAGGCCTACTGTTATCTTGAACTAAGATGTTATCAAGACATGGTGTTTTAGGGAGTAACCTTGGCCTAGACACTAGTAATGTTATTTATTTATTTGTTTATTTGCTGATGTTTCAGTCAAAGGAATACATGTTGGAAGAAAGGTCCAAAGGGGACTTTTTTGCATATTCATACTTATTTATAAAATATTACATTTTGACTTGAAATTTATGAATTCAAAGCGAAACTGCAATCTAGACTGTTGATTCGGAGAGTGTTAATCTAATGAAACAGGAATTCATCTCATCAAAATTAAAAGCAGTTCGGAGATAGAAGCTTTAGTAGGCCTACAGCTGCACCAAAACTGTGGAACAATTTAGACCTACCACAAAATTTTCGCGACAGCAAAACTCCTACAAGTTTCAAATCCTTATTAAAAACTCACTTGTTAAAAAAATCTCATGTGTAGACTAAACTGAATAGACATGTACATGTATATAGTTTATTGCTCTTAAAAGCGCCTTGAACGTGCTTATGGGTGGATTTGGCGCCCAAGAAATGAACATTTATTATTAATTTATTATTTATGAGGTTTCGACCATTGGTATAAAGAATAATTTTCTGCTTGACATCATTTAATCGACCTTGATATATCTTACTTGTCCAGATTAGATTGTATGTTGAATTTTGAGACAAATCCTATTCATCAAATAAACGTTGGCACGTTGTTACCTGACTACAGGGGATATATTTCTATATATTTCATATTATGGCAACTCAGTGCTTTTTGAATTTATTCATTATAAATAATTTTACCAAAGCCTGTTTCTTTAATTTTTTATTCAGATTGAAAACCATTGAAACGAAAGGGCGCCAATCTTCTTTGAGAAAAGGGGTGTTAAAATGGTGAAATATAATGTACTAGTCGGTTGTACTGGAAGTGTTGCTTCACTAAAGATACCACTGCTTATTGGGGAACTAGCAAAGTCTACTGATATTGAGGTACTACTATTACAGTAATGAGCCTAAAGTTAGGAATTGTAGGGACTTGTATATTCCTCCTGGAATTTTCTAGCCGGCTCTCACGTGTCAGGCTTGGAATGTCAATATTCTACTGTAACATACCGAGAGTAGGGCCTGCAAGGTGGAACGAACAACTGAGGTTCATCCGAGCATATATATTGTAACCCAAAAGAATGTTTGACAGAAACCCCGTTTATCTGGCAAAAAATACTCTCCCCGCATTGCCATACGTTGGTCTTAAAATAACTGAAACATTGTTATGGCGGGATGGAAAATTCCGTTATAGTAATTATCAGTATGATGTGCTGTTGCCATGACGATAGTGTTCAACAATTTTCATTTGAAGGACACCACCACTTTGACTAGGGCACTTTTATTATGACAAAAACTGACGACCACCTATCTCACTAATGATTTCTTTTGGAATGGTATAACCCTCTCGCTTCCGTATACCTGTACTATCTATGGGTGATTAAATATTTGCAGATCGATGTAAAGCTTATATCAACCGAACATGCTCTGCATTTTTTTGATAAATCATCCATTAAAGAAGGCGTATTAACAGATGTAGATGAATGGAATGTAAGTATCTGCAAATTAACTTTATATCTCCTCGTTCACCTGTTATTGATGTAAGCAACTGTAACTGCCGTTAGGGGAGATTATGAGAAAAGTACCACCACTTCATGTACTTTAAAACAGCATGTTCAGATCATGGATCTAACTTTAAATCTGTATTTTAAATTGCTATTGGGGAAACTCGCGTTGCATTCAAGTGGGCAGAGACAGGTGAATAATGCTTTTGCCCCCCCCCCCCCCAACAACCAAAATATTACTGTAGCCTCGGGATTCAATTATTGAAATGAAACTGAACCATGTGTTAGTCCCGAAATGACCTAGTTTGTGTCGAGTGGACGTTAAATCTCTCTCTCTCTCTCTCTCTCTCTCTCTCGGGCGCAACTTCTCTAAACCAGTTTACGATATATATGTTTGTATTATAAGTCAGTCTGATCAACAATTAAGTTTTGAGCATCAATACAGGTATTCTGTCTCTGTTTAACAGGATTGGCAAAAAAGAGGGGATCCAGTTTTACACATAGAATTACGACGCTGGGCAGACCTAATGCTTATCGCACCATTAGATGCTAATACTCTAGCTAAAATATCTAATGGTATCTGTGATAACTTATTGGTAAATATACTCCCTTTTGATTTAGTTCTTTAAATATACCGTCTGTGTGTGACCTGTCTAAACATTTTAATTTCAAGAATAAACATAAGAGCCTAAGAATGTCCTATAAGAATATCCTAAGACAATTCATGTTCCATATTGATGGGATAGAATACAATGAATAATAAATTGAATTCGCTATCGTAATAGTATTTAGTTTTCTTGAACATAAAATGTATCCAATTTGCTGTTAGCTGTGAACAAAATCTCGAAATACGATAGACAAAACGACGTAACATCCTCTCGCAATAAGAAAGAAATTTTTAAAAAAATTAATCCGTTATAAATTGTAGCCTCTATATCGCGTTAACGAGCCAATTATTGTTCAACCGATGGACATGGGCGACAACATAATACGCTCACACTGAAATATGGGCGTAGGAATTAGTTATTTACATTTGATGAAAAATGTCCGAATATTCAATTGAAATTGTTTTTGTCGTTTTCAGACTTGTGTTGTTCGAGCTTGGGATTTAAGTCGTCCGTTATTATTCGCTCCAGCTATGAACACCTATATGTGGAATCACCCATTAACTAGTAAACAGATAAATATATTAAAGGCGGAGTTTCAGTATATAGAAATACCATGTATTGAAAAAACATTAATATGTGGAGATACAGGTAAATAACACAGTTTTTATTAAAGGCACTAAGTCTTGTTGATGGCGCAGACTATCATTCCAGTTTCATGAAGTCGCGGTGGCTCAGTGAGTAAAACGTTGGTATACTGTAGTCTTACCTGCAGATCCCGTGTTCGATCCCGGTGTTGAACGAGAAAGTTCATCAGGATTTTCCGGCGTGGTCGTAAAGTCGTTCGGATGGGACGGTCCCGTGTAAACATTGGCATGCACATAAAAGAACCCCTGACAGTAAGAATTCGAAATAAGAGTAGGCCACGGTGTCGCTGTCCGCTCAAAATTACCCCTCAGAACATCCCGCATGTCCACGCCCGTCCTTATTAGCACATGTTGTTTCCCTTTGTCAGTGATGCAGGACCAAGGGCCTGACAAGTACAGCTGTCTAGTCGTTCAGATGGGACGAAAAACCGAGGCCCTGTGTACACATTGGCGTGCACGTAAAAGATCCCTTGCCGCTGCCCGGGCAAAATTTCCCTCATAGCACACTGTATGTCGTATGCCCGTCTTCATTAGTCCAGTTTAGGAGCAGAACAATAGGACGTTAAACCCCATTTCATTTCATTTATTAGCACATGTGTAGGTAGTCTTTCCCCCATTCTAGACACTAAATACACGGCGGAATTTGCGATTGGTTTAGCAGCCTAGCAAGCGCAAGTCGCAGGCTATTGCTTTTTATTTAGAGCGACAAGACATACTGTCTGAAAGTGAGGGATCTTGTTCATTCGAAATCTTAAAAAATATTTTCGGATTACATGTATAATTTTTCAGGTAAAGGTGCAATGGCGGAAGTATCAACGATTGTATCAGTTGTAATTGAGAGACTTAAGGAAATAAAGAAAGAAACTAAACAGGAAAACACGTGATCATCATCCATTGTTTAGCCATGACTCATAAAATGTATAATGATTCCTAAATTTTCTGAACGTGATAGCGATAGACTGGAATGAATTGATTTGAAAAATGCTAGTGTCTAACTCTTAAAAAAACTGTCTAGTCAACTGCGTGATTTCGTGAAACAGCTATAGAAACAAGACAACACACAAGAAACATTCGATCAATGAGTACATTTATATATTTTTTTTTAAATGAATATCTTTCAAAGTATTTTGTTTGTGAAATGTATGTCTATCATCACTGAGCATTGATTATTCTTTGGACGTCTGGCCAGTGTACGTCATATCATTATTATTATTTTAGGTTTCTATGGTGCATAACTGCTACATAAATGTGCTCATGTGCGCTTTATACAAAGACAATATTACATTTACATAATAAAACGAGGTAACAAAGAGCATACTTTATAAAATATAAATAAAAATTTTATTTAGATAAAATTACACGTAATTAGAAATTAAAATAGCTCTGTATAATCTCCTTTTAAAAGGATCACCGGGTAAAAGCCTTTTTAAATAAATATGTCTTAAGCCTTAAAAGTAACAAAAGCAGTGACATGTTATTCCATAATAATGGTACTTGTAAATAGAATGACCGGTTACCATACTATGATAAATTATAAGAGCGCTGTATATAAGTAATGAATAATGATAAAATAAATGAAATATGGAGTGATGTTTAACATTCTACGTTCTGAAAACGGTCATGCGCCATTCAGTGTGTTATGAAGGAAATTTTACCCTTATTTCGAACCAATGTCGATTTTTCATCCCATTCGATCGACTAGACGCTGTTTCTTGCTAGGCCCTCCGACTTGCACGACTGACATCTCGATGAACTTTCTCGGCCAACACTGCGAGTGAACCCAGGACCTGGTAAACGAGACAGCATAATATAATAAATTGAACCACTTTAGTAGATGTGTAGGCCTACACTAAAACATAATTCGTTAATCAACGGACTTTATATTACGGTACTAATAAGGTCCATGGTGAATCTAAAAAATGTAAAAGGGGGATTTGAATTATTCATTACTCGGTTACGTCACAATAAACATTTCGCAAATTTCTATTACGTCATGTAACAGTTCTAGAAATACGTCATTACTATTGTCAAAGATAAAAGCCAAGGAAACCAAATCCGGATTGAAGTGGTCTCGGATGTTACACAGATTTTGCTATGTAAAATTTCAATGAATTTTATGGATTCTGGAGACAGTGATCCCGAAATTACTGGTAATGAGTACGAGGAACTTTGTAAAAACTGTGACAAACTTTGTAAAAAAATAGGTGATCCAGTTCTTCCTATTGCTGGAAGGTATAAGAAGGATTCCCGGGTATGGCTACATAAAAATCCGGGATTTCGACTGGGCCAGAGCGTGACGGTAAAGGTAAAAGAAGATTCGTCTTCAGAATGTTTGTACAGCGTCATGGATATGTTTGGAAGGAAATATAAAAAAGATTCTAGAACATGGCTGCATAAATCCTCAAGAAAACGCCAACGATTGAACGAGGAATCGTTTGCCGAGGGTGAGAATAAGTTCGAAAAGGGCGAATCATTACCCAATGTTCCAAAACGTCCCCCGGCACCCTTCATTAAAAGAGATCTACCAGAATCGCCTTTAAGGGGTGTGTGTAAAACCGGTTACAGTTTCAACAGAGAAAATTCCAAACAATATTTTACTGTTTCGAACATCATCAGAAAAAGAAAAAGACAAAAACAATTGAGTTATTCGGCCAACAATTCGCCCAATGATTTACGATATAATGAAGAAATATGTCGTATTTTGTCTGATGAGCTAAATGGTAATAACGTACGCGGTACTGTCAGTGAAGAGATGTTTGAAATCTTTGATGACGAAGAAAGTCTTGAGGCTTGTCGACGGGTGTCAGATCATACCCCGCTTAATGTAGAATGGCGGGAAACTCGTTCCATAACGTCTGAAACGTCAACACAATCCAGCAATGATAACCAACAGATCGGTATTAATCAGTCGCCACTATCATCGGATGCCAGGTCGGTACATAGAAAATCGTCATTCTCTGGCATTAATAAGCCTATAACTCGTGTAGCCTAGGCATAAGGGTCATCGTCTGTAAAATGTTCAAATTTATAACAATGACGGGACAGCTAGGTGATGATCTAATGTTTTAAATGTTTTACTTGGGGAATCGACATAGCCAGTGAAAGGTAAAATCCAACAAAATTTCAAAAAAGAGTTCCTAGTCGTTTGGGTGGGTTAAAAAAAAACACCCGAGACCCCATGTAATATCCCTTAGCAGTTAAAATCACCTGTAGGCGAAAGGCATGCCGCTTAGCGGGCTTACGCAATGCACCCTTGCAAAGTGAAATTATTATTGTACATTTTCATAGCGCACAGCTTCCTCGACTAAATGCTCGCGCACTTTACAAAATATGGTACAGGAAATTAAATTTACAAATAAAATAATTAATGCCAATTGCTATAATAATACCAATCGCACTATTACTGAATTATGATACAGACAAAACGAAATGAAACGAAATGGGATTTAACGTCCTGCTTTTCTGCACAACCTGGGCTAATGAAGACAGGTATACATCATGTGCTATTGGGGACATTTTGTGCGGATAGCTGCACTATGGCTTGGGCCTATATTATTTCAAATTTCAACTTCTACGTCAACGTGAACACGTTTTTCGTCCCATCCGAACGACTAGACGATGTTCCTTCCTAGACCCTCCATCCCACATCAATGACAAGGTGAAACCATGGCGGAAATCCAGATGAACTTCTCGGCCAAGACCCTACTGGTTAACGAATCAGTGCCACATCCACTATGACACCGCGGCTCATAACTTCGCTCAAAATGAATAATTTGACTGAAATTTTCACTAAATTCCAAACGGATGGTCTTTTTAAAAACTATTATAGCGAAAACTGTCAGCTCTTTATCTAAATCTTACGTATAATGCATATTTAATAAACCCACAATCACTTTTTGTGGCTGGTCCATTTTCACATCAATCAGTCTCACAGACAAAATTCTCTAACATTTATGATCATTTTAAATGGAAAATTTCTCTTCTTGTTAAATCCGCTTCCACCTAGGTGATATCACAGACAATGTCTTTGTATGATTTTTTTTTATTTCTTTCTTTCTTTTTTTTTCTTTTTTTGTCTTGTTACAATTACAGCATCAATATATCATCCGAGGTAATAAATCTAAACAAATCACCTAGACTTATTAGCACAGCAACCAATCATTATGATTCAATACCATCACGATCTGCAACACAATTGATGAGGAAAGACAACCAGGCGAATCTAGAATATGAGATAACTCCCCCTGGAAGTCCTTGGAGCCTCGTTAATAGTCAAACTGACTTTTCAACCAATAGCTGTCCAACTCGTGGAACTTTACACATTGATACACGAAAGTTAAATATTAATAGTCGAAGTGTCTGTCTTTTGATCGCCGAATCTGATGAATTTTTAGCTGAAGACAATTTGTTAGTCTATGAGGAGGAATCTGACGATGATTATTAGATAACAAAACTTCATTTTCGTTAAAAAGTTCTGTGCTGTTCGAGCAGAGTAAAAGTAGTAGAACATCTGCAGGCAATTTATTATAAAGCTAATTTAAATTTAATTGATCATTTAAAATATTAATGATTGTGCTGAATCAATTGTTTCACCAAAATATTAACGGACTCATGAATAAACAAATTATCAGTGATAATTTTGTGTCATGCTTTTGTATCATTCCTATCAAAAATTCAATTGATTGAATCAGTGAAATGGTGCCAATTTGTGTTTCTATTTAAATATACTATTCAAAAAAAGTAGGGGATATTTGATTTTTAAGTGTTATTAAAGTCACCTAATGAAACTGACGAAGAAACAAATGACAAAATGAAATGAAGTTCACATTCATCGATTTATTCCAAATGATCGTTAGACTAAGTAAGGCACAGACTGACCATTATAAGGGTAAAATGATACCCGGGGTCAAACAGCAAAGTTACCACAGCATCACAACCAAGTCAGTAACGGGTAAATCCTCCTCTGTTTGCCAAACAAGCATTGATCCGACGTGGCATACTCCTAATGAGACGTCTAAGGTCATTTTGGTCCAGATTGTCCCATTCCTGTTGCAACGCAGCAGCAAGTTCTTGGACATTGGCAGGACGTTGTTGACGTTGACGTAACCTCTGTCCAAGCATGTCCCAGACATGCTCGATGGGGGAGAGGTCGGGACTCAGTGCTGGCCAAGGTAATGTGGTGATGTTCTGTTGTTGGAGGTAACCTGTAACGATCCTGGCCCTGTGACATCTTGCGTTGTCATCCTGGAAGATGAAACGGCGGCCATGACGTCGTGCGAACGGCACAACATGGACTGCCAAGATGTTGTCCCGGTAGTACTGGCCTGTAACACGCCCTGCAACAACATGTAAAGCCGTTCTTCCAGCAACAGTGATGCCTCCCCACACCATAACAGAACCACCCCCAAATCGATCATGTCTGATGACGTTAACGTCTTGGAAGCGCTCGTTTCGACGACGCCACACCCTCCTACGTCTGTCCAAAAAATCAACAGTGAACCTTGACTCATCTGAAAACATCACATTGCTCCAGCGTCGATTATCCCAGTGTTGACGATCCCTACACCAACGACGTCTTGCCTGAATGTGATGATCTCTCAAACAAGGGATCACGCGAGGACGTCGGGCGCGAAGGTGACCCCTATGCAGTCGATTCCGAATCGTCTGGCCACTCACTCTCACACCAGTGTCTGTTTGAAGACGAGCGCTGATCTGATTTGCTGTGATGACACGATTTCTCAAGGCCCAGGTACGGATAAATCGATCCTAGGCTTGAGTTGTCGCCCTTGGTCGACCTGAGCGTGGTCTGTCCTGTACAGATTGTGTATCACGGTATCTGGACCATAGCCTGCTTATGACAGACTGAGAAACATTCATCGTCCGCGCCACAACCGCCTGTGTTGTGCCGATCTGTAGCATGCCAAGGGCACGTAACCTTTCATTTTGGGTAAGCCGACGCATATCAAAATTTGTTTTTCTGGTCACTAAAACAATTAAACTGATGTTTCCACCCTGGAATCCAATTCCACAATGACTGTAACATTCAAAGTCAGAGTCGTGCAAATCTTGGGTTGGACCCCATGATGATCCCAAGCATCACCTGCATTCCATGCGGTAGCTATTGGTGCGTTTGGGCGTCACATGTAACTGGAAATGTTTCTTCTGATAGGTTCTATAGTGACTTTTTTCGTAGTCATTTGCATATTTTAGTATTATGCCCCCAAAATCAAATATCCCCTACTTTTTTTGAATAGTATATATTAGCATTTGATGGGCATCGAATCCTTATATACTTTTTCCACGAATAAAACAGTGGGAAGTTATTAAATCCATTTTATTTTCATTCGGTCTATCCAGCTGTAATCTTGTACTGAGGCACGGGCCTTACTAACTATATAGTGTGATTTAGTATCAATTTGATTTCCTGCTCTTGTACAGAACCGATTATATAACGCCGAGAATTGGTGTATCTCATGCTGCTCCCCTTTGCTATGGTCGTCATATTGAAATCTTATGCTAGCGAGCTTTTCAATAATCCAGCTGTTTAAAAGGGGGTGTGTGTGTAGGGCGGGGGGGGGGGGCATGAGCAGGGGCGTGTTGACCCATGATTTTGCCTGAAGCAATGGCCCGAAAAATCCCTCTCTGGCCATTGCTGGATTGACTTCTGATACTTGAGCTTTTGAGGGAGTTTGTCTATTCTTCCCGTTCAATCAAATCCATCCCAAGTACAGCAACATAACAGCCCTTCGTTTAATCTAGGGTCTTCCCTAAAACTTTGGACAGTGATTTAAGCTATTAAAAACGACGAAAGTATTGTTCGTCTCCAAAGCAGTATTGTTTACATTGTAGCCCCATTTGTCACGCAATTAGTTTTTCTGTAATATTCTGCTATGCACATGTAAAGTGGGGGTAATAAATTTTGTGAGTCATGACGTAACGTTATGTAAACATATCTGGATCTCTGTTTATACCAGAATGATATTGTTACGAAGTTAGGTATTGGTTGTTAATAGGACTATTGACCAGTCATAATATGGAACAGAAATTTGCTTTCGTTACAACAGTGTTTGAGTGTGATTAGTAGATCTAATCAAATGAAACACTGCGAGGGGTAATATTGGGCTGTGTGCAACATGCTAGAGCCGATTTGTAGCATATCTGACCCACGGTGGCCAATGTTTGACACAGGTTGAGCATTATGATTATTATGTTGAACACCGCATGATGTTTTCCCATTTGCGAGGGGGCGCAAAAACTCAAGGCAAGAGGGTGCAAAACCTCTAAACCATGACGCAAAGCTCGTCATTGCGTCCCTCTCATTTAGCCCCTGTGCATCAGCCTGTAACTGTTGGCTTGTCAAGATTGATCTTTGATTTGGTATTGTATTTTTAATTTATTTACAGATTTTCGTTTTACTTAATTACCCTATATTATGTATGCCAACCACTTTACTTGAAAAAATATCAAGGATTATATCCGTTGCTAAAGTAAATAATACCTTGGTAACTTTGTGAAAGGTAAATATTAAAATAGCAGGGAAATTCTGTAGCAAAAAAAAAAAAAAAAAAAAAATGACATTATAAAAAATGAAATCTCATAAATGACCCAGAAAATGAACAACTTTCTCCGTTAGATTAAAGCTTTAGGGTAAATGTGTCGGTTTTTTTTTTGGGGGGGGGGGGTAACTTTACAGCGGGGGCAAGACAGTTAAGGCTTAATTTTTAAAGTCCACATTCATAATCTGGACATAATATGCCGTCGCCACTGTCTGATGTGTATGTCTGTTTGTCAACTACTGGCCGTAATTCTTAACAGACCGTCGTGAAACTTTCTATACTTATGCCTTATACCCTAAGGATGATCACACCCGTAGCCAGCCGGGGCCAAGGGGAGCAATTGCCCCCACCAGCCCTTCAAAAAAAAAGTTGCCGACCATAGTTCTAAAATACCTATAGACTGTAGACAGCAGTCAGGGGTCATCATGTTGCGTTTTGATTTAGTGGACGTGGCACCCAGTCTCAACTAGGGACGGGTGTCAGTTGGGATCCCTTCTAAATCTTTTTTGAAACTCACCATTTTAATTGATGTAAAAAAAAATGACACTAGAGGGAACAAATCGAGGGCTGAAAGCCAGAAGTGTCTATCTCCAAAATTGCCAAAAATGAGTTAAATACACCAAACAGTTCGAAATTTCGTGTAGTTTCTCTGCAAAAATTATCTAAGTCCTATCTTTATAAATAATGACGCAACAGAGAAGACATATATTGTTAAGTACAGAACCACTATCTCCAGATAGAGAGTTCTTGCTGTCATTTTGTTTTGCTCCATTAGTGCAAGATATGTATATATCCCACTTGTCCAGTTTTTGCATATAAAACACTTATATGTTGAGAGTTATTTCCCTTGAATCACCGCCTAAACTGCCTTGTTAATGTACCAGAAAAGGATATAAAATTGATGTTTTCACTTTTGTGATCTGTTAAAATGGCTGGTAGACAAGGTAAGAGGCACTTAATTTAACTAGTGTAACTTTATATACAAAAATAATGTAATATAATACATAAAGATATTCCAAAAGTACTTCATTAAAATTTAGTTTAGTCCTTGCATGGATATATCCATTTCCTGCTGAAGTAGGCCTACGACCAAGGACAAAAACATGATCACTTTTAATCATATTAAATGTTACGATTTTGATATTTCGCAATAATAATAAGGAAGTTGAAATATTTTATTGTTTTTGTTTTAGGACGATGTCTAGATGCTACGGAGGTGCTGGAACTATAAGAGGATATGGAAAGCGAGTTTGATGATACTGATAATGATCCAGATTATAAAACGTCTGATTCCGATGATTAGTTCTTTACCACAAAGAAATCTTCTGCACATAACAAGGCACGAGATGATGTACATGAAGACCAAGACAACACACAAGATGGTAGACAACACACACGATAATGGACAACAAGACAACACACAAGATGATGGACAACAAGACAACACACAAGATGGTGGACAACAAGACAACACACAAGATGGTGGACAACAAGACTACACACACGATAATGGACAACAAGACAACACACACGATGATGGACAACAAGACAACACACAAGATGGTGGAAAACAAGACAACACACACGATAATGAACTAGACAACATACAAGATGGACAACATGACAACACCCAAGATGGTGCAAAACAAGACAACACACGCGATAGTGGACAACAAGACAACACACACGATAATGGACAACAAGACAACACACAAGATGGTGGACAACAAGACAACACACAAGATGGTGGACAACAAGACAACACCCAAGATGGTGCAAAACAAGACAACACACAAGACGATGGACAACAAGACAACACCCAAGATGGTGGAAAACAAGACAACACACAAGATGATGGACAACAAGACAACACCCAAGATAATGGACAACAAGACAACACACAAGATGATGGACAACAAGACAACACACAAGATAATAGATATTTTTATTTTTTCAAAGTTAAATAGTGACAAAATTGAATATATTCTGATAGGATCAAATAATAATCTAAGCAAAATAGCTGATTGTAGATCCATATCTCTTGCTAAGTCTTTTATTTTACCTGTTAATTCTGCAAGAAATATTGGTGTTACCTTTGACAAAAACATGAACATGATTAGTCAAATTCATAATGTATGTAAAAGCTGCTATTTCCACATTTACAATATAGGTAAAACTAGAAAATACATTTCACTAGATGCAACTAAATCACTTGTTCGTGCTTTTATAACTTCTAGGCTTGATACTGAATTTCTGACTTCTGTACAGTCTATTCATAACTTGGTATGAGCATTATGCACATATATCTCCAATGTTGACTTCCCATATTGGGGGAATTTATATCAACCAGAAGTGTCTATATACATTATTATAAAATAAATTGAAAACTACTGCAATAAGCCTATTGATCATTCATCATTTGTTGTCAACTATTAATACACACGTAATTACCAAAAATCATCTAAATCCAACAATTATCTGATTTTTAAAATTTAATCAAACTTTAAATCTTCATTTTCTCAAAACGTCAGTTTTGGAGATAGGCAGTTCTGGCTTTCAGCCCTCGAAATGCCCTCTTTGACCCCCTGGCAGGTAGGTCCTCAATCACACTAGGCTGGAAAACACGTTTGTTGGCGTCCAATTTTCAAAATTTTCCGGGGGATTGGGGGAAGGATAGCCACGCCCATTTTTTCTGTTTATCGTATACAGGCCGCAATTTTGAATGGATCATCTTGGAATTTGGCATATGTATTCCTAAGGACGCCAACTATTGATTTTGGTGCATGTTCCGGGCACGCCCAAGTTTTGTGTTTAGTGCCTGAACCCTACAATGCTGAATGGGTGTCACACCTACTTTTTTGTTAATATTTAGCCTGTAAATTTGGCAAACCAAACCCAACGCCTAGCTTCTTTGCCTCTTACAGTCACTGCAGTCATTTCATATTTTATCCTCTTCATTTTAAAAAGCACCATATCAATCAAAGCAGGAACATTGACCTATATCGCAGCGGTTACTTCTGTGTATGCTTACCTGGTCAAATTGAGAACATCAGAAAATATATCTGGAAATGTTTTTTTTTTAAAAGGTACATTTTTTGTTTTGACTGGTGGGGGTCACGGTGGCTAAGTGAGTAAGACGCTGGCTCGCTAGCCTGGAAGTTGGGTTTTCGATCCCTGCATTGGCTCACAAAGTTCATCCAAACTTTTCGGCGTGGTTCCCCCTTGTCAGTGATGCAGGACGGAGGGCCTGACAAGGACAGCTGTCTAGTCATTTGGATGGGACAAAAACATGACCCCGCGTACACATTGGCATGAACATAAAAGATCCCTTGACAATTGGAATTCGATATAAGAGTAGGTCGTAGTGCCGCTGTCCGGGCAAAATTTCCCTCACAGCACATTGTATGGTGTATTCCCGATATCATTAGCCCATTTTGGGGCAGAACAGTAGGACGTTAAACCCCATTTCATTTCATTTCATTTGTTTTGACTGGCATTAATGAAATTACTGTCATTTTCGGCATCTCCTTAAATTCTTAACACAGAAAAGAAGAAAGGACAATAACACATGATATGACACTTTATTTAAACATACATTATGCAAGAGCTAAATCTGCCTATTGAAGGTCTTTCTTTAGGTCTGAAATGTTATCTAAATTATGAATTAGACATTAATTAACCTACTCAGACCATAATCAACTGCTTGATGTCATTGGATTAGAACCCGATCTGCTGCTCAGTGCTCAATGATTATTAAATCAAAAAATGGATAATCAAGACTATGTTTTTATCATACCAACTTTAGTAATGATGATCGAGGCTAGGCCTAAAATTCAATCGCTAAGTTCTTGGTTCAGAGTAGATCAATTTGACTGAAATTTTCAGCAAATTCCCTTTACATTATCTAGTTTTTAACTATTATAGTGAGGACTGCTAACTCTTTATCTAATCTCCCATAATGTATATTTAATCATCAATAATAATAGTTTAAAAATTAATATTTACATCAAAATTTATATAGTTGGACACCTCTCACTAAAACAATATCAGAATACATTTTCTGAACTGGTTTATATCTGGAAACTTCAATAAGAAACAAGAAGATTCAGTCATCGCATGATGCTTATTTAAGTTAAAAAAAGTGGAATTTTTTTCCTAAGAAACATAAAATAATGCCTGAAATTTATGATTAGAAAAAGGCACAACCTCTACAATAGGTTGATATGTGTACAAATAAATTCTCGGGAAACAAAACAAAGATGAAAGAATGAACAAAAGTACAGAGCTGATTTAAATATACCTCCTTTAACATCATTCAAAGCAGGACAATAAAGAAATATAAGCAACCTTCAGGCTGGCAGGCTGAAGCCTAGGGTCTCAAGATCTAGGAGGCCTCTGGCCAAGGTGTATAATATTTTTGACTCAGTCATAAGCCATTCGTAAATGCACTGTAGTCTTAAACTTAAACATTCGTCATCCTTCTTGGCTTTGCTCAATTGTGTTTAAAACATACTTTAATCTTCCTCTAGCCGTGTGGGTGGAGTATTGGGAATATCTCTTCATCTAAATCCGCTACTGAATATAGGTACATTACATTTAGGTGAATGTCTAACGTTCAGATAATGTTGGCTTAAGAGTGTCCATAACATACTGGGAAATGAAAAGTAATACCATGGCACTAACAATCATTGTCACTCATTCATCCTCCAAAATATACAGACTTGTTGCTTACATAAACAAAACAAACTAGTAATTTAATGACATTTTAAAAACAAGTCTTTTAATCTAATCAGGATATCCATCCATCTCTGGATCATCAGTATCATCATCATCATCATCACTATCTTTCTCTATTGTTTGCCGATATCTGTTGGTTTAATGTTAAGGATATAAATTGCAATTTAGTAATACTACTTAATATTTAGAAAGAACTTATACTTATTTTGTATTGTAGCCCAACTCTAGTCAAAATGCCTAATCGGCACCAGCTACAGAAGGTTACCCACAAATATTGAGTTTTACTAAGTACATACAAATAAGTTGAAATGTCCTAAAATCTTTGGTTTATCATTATTCTATTCAATAGCAGATTATACATTCTCCTATTAACTTAGGGAGCCACAGTGGTTTAGTGCGTGGGGTGCTGGCTTGTTGATCCTGGTGTTGGTTGAGAAAGTTCATCAGGATTTTCAATGGTGCAGGAAGGGGGAGTCTCTGGTCATTCAGATGTAATGATAACAAGGCCCAGTATACACTTTGGCATGCACAAAAATGAAGTCTCGACAAGTGGAATTCAAAATAAGAGTAGGCTATGGTGGCTGTTAGCGGCCATTCAAATGTCATCTTAATCGTCGCCTTATGAAGAAGGCGACAAGTCGACGAAATCAACCCGCCAACACGACAAAATATCCCGATGATCGTCACCTTCATTTTGTCGACTTGTCGGGTCAATTCTGTCGACTTGTCACATCAACTTATTCACAACCCGACAAAATACAATTATTTCGACTTGTCGTGCGGCAACTTGTCGTCTCAGAAGTTAATCTGTGCGCATGCAAGTTATCCAATCAGCAAATGCGCAACCTCGACTTTGACTTCCGAGGCGACAAGTCGAAATAATTGTATTTTGTCGACTTGTCGGGTTGTGAATAAGTCGAAGGCGACAGAATTGACCTGACGAGTCGACGAAATGAAGGCGACGATCGTCGGGTTATTTTGTCGTGTTGGTGGGTTGATTTCGTCGACTTGTCGGGTTGTGAAAAAGTCGAAGGCGACAAGTTGACAGAATTGACCCGACAAGTCGACAAAATGAAGACGACGATCGTCGGGTTATTTTGTCGACTTTGACTTATTCACAACCCGACAAGTCGACAAAATACAATTATTTCGACTTGTCGTGCGGCGACTTATCGCCTCGGAAGTTAATCTGTGCGCATGCAAGTTATCCAATCAGCAAATGCACAAGCTTGAGTTTGACTTCCGAGGCGACAAGTCGCTGCACGACAAGTCGAAATAATTGTATTTTGTCGACTTGTCGGGTTGTGAATAAGTCGAAGGCGACAAGTCGACAGAATTGACCCGACAAGTTGACGAAATGAAGGCGACGGTCGTCAGGTTATTTTGTCGTGTCTGCGGGTTGATTTTGTCGACTTCTTCACAAGGCAACGATTTAGATTCATTTGAATGGCCGCTAACAGCCACCATAGTAGGCCCCAATTTTGTTGTCGAGGCAAAATTTCTCCCATAGCACAATGCATGGCATTAGCCCAGTTGGTGCAGAAAAGTAGGATATTGATTGTGAACCCCATTTCATTTCCGTATTCATTAGTAAATTAATTTAATAAATTTTTCATCGTAAAATAATAAATGTAACTGCTGGTTGTTTTTACTTTAAATCATGAAATAGAACCCACACCTTATCAATGTACATGTAAGTTATTTATAAATTCAGTGCTTGTAAAATGGATTAAAGTACTGGTATTATAAACAGATTGATCTTGACTATTTATAAGTGTAACATGAGCTTCCAATCAATACCAGATGGTACATGAAGCCTCTGACAATCCAGTCACCAGTATACGTTTAATAGATTGAATCTTAAATTATACATTGGATGACTCATTGATTCATGTTTTACAATGAATAATAAAGGATACGACATATCAACATGTTTTGGTTTATAAGGACCCATTTTGATATTAAGTCTCTCAGCTAATCTTGCAGCTGCTCTCTGTGCTAATAACTCCTGAAAGATATAACAAACCCTCTATTCTACACTCTCTTCCAAAAAACTCAATTTTTACTGTAAATGTTAAAACTTTCATTTAAATTCAAATTAGGTTTCCAGTTATAATGGGTGGTTGATTGGTCTAACGCCTGCACTTTAGGTTATAATGCCTACCATTGCAAGTGACATTGTTTCAATTCAAAGCTTCTGCCTGACAAGATTGTCTTTCCAACCTTGTGGGTTTTCTCCAGGACCTTTGATATAATACCACTACCAAGTCAGTCTCGAAATGACCTAGTTACTCTCTCCCCAAGACAAAAAATGCAGACTTTTGTTTTTTTGGGTTGAGAATTACCATTTCAAAAATGTAAATAAACAAATTTACCGCCTGTTTAGCTGCTTGTTGCCTTATTAATTCTGTTGATTCTTCATCTGAGACTAACTTTGCTTTTTCATATTTATAACGTGGTGGATAGGCTGCCGATTCTTCATACTTTTTATGTTGTAGTTTATCAACTGGATTATTTGAGTCTGTATTTTCATTTAGTTTAGATCTATGTTTATATTTATTAGGTAAATCATCAACTTTTGATATTAATAAGGAGCTGTAAAAATAGAATAAGATGCATTAATTTAAAAGGTGTAGATCTATGTTTATTTATTCATCAGGTAAATCATCAACTTTTGATATTAATAAGGAGCTGTAAAAATAGCATTAATAGATAGATTATTTACGGTTTAGATAAACAGCTTACCATTCTTGCTATAAAAGTTCAAAATTAGATAATGCAAAATGAATATCTTGAAAATTTCATCAAATTGCTTTATTCTGAGTGAAGTTATGACTGTTTGAAGTTTTGAAAAGATGTAGCATAGATTGTTTATTATCGTAACAACGGTACTTGTTATTCAAGATGGTTATTGGGTAATTTAATGTTATCTTGCGTTAAGCTTCTGATAATCTACACTACCCTTCTACGCTACGGTATAGAACTTCTAACATACATTTGGAACAACTTTCATATACACAAATAAGACCAGTGCAAAATAATAGAATTTATAAAGTTTAGTCCCGTAAAAGATAAAATTCAGAAACAAAAACCTAAATAAAGGGAACTGAAAAACATCTGACTTGTTTTGGCTTTATTACTTTGTAGTAAAATTGTGTTACCATTTATTACAAAAACCTGACATGAATTACTGATTTTAATCTCGTGGGTGATTTAAAATGTGGTAGATATTGAAGCCTTAAGAACAAACCACCAGGGCATCATGTTTTCATAAACATTTTGATAATGTCTAATAATATAGAATTTATACCTGTTCGGTTTAAATGGTTCTTTCTGTGTTTTAGGACGTTGTTCGGCTCTTTTAATAACTAGTTCATAACAGTTCTTAGAATTATCAAATGTTCTTGTAGGTTCCACACTATCTGAAACTTTAACTTTTTGGAACGAGTCACTTAACATATCTTCCACTTCCATGTTTTGTTCAACATTTTTAACACTCGAATTTATTTCTCGTTCATCGATAATTATTTTATGATCACCACCATGGAAGGCCGCTGGATTGATGAGTGAACGTAGCAAATTGTCATTATTACTGTCTTTTATATGAGACTGACTGAATGGTGCCAGTGTAACTTTATCACTTAAATCACCATTTTGTTTCAATGAAAATGCAGATGTAAGGTTTATGATGTCTGATGAAGATTTGTCTATGTGTGAAGAATGGATTGACTGTGATTTTTCAATGGCTGTTTTTTCATGAATTAATCGTTCTAATATATCGGCAAACTGCTTCACTTTAACACCTTTATCTGGTAACTTTTTCAAAAACGACCTAAATATAAAGAAACACATTATCTTATGTCCTTAACTTCATAATAAAATGAAATGGGGTTTAACGTCCTTGGCTAATTTTAGGAAATTATATAAAATGAACAAAAACTTACTAAAATACCATACATGATCTACAAACATACAGGCCCAGGTCATACAATTTGTTAGAAACTACAAATTTCTTTGTTGAGGAATTAAATTTTTTAGTTCATGTTTGCCAGGAGTGGCATTTCTAACCACTATAAGCTATTCATAACACTTTTTTCAACTAATAAAGATAAAAATACTATTATCTGACAATGTAACATGACCACAATTTGAATAGCATGGTATTTATTATGCCTACAAATATATCACTTGATGCTAGAAGTATGTAATGAAATACTTAGTAAATCAGCTCATCCTTTGTGATGATGTAAAGAAAGTTGTATAACATCTGCCAAATATCTTTACATTACATCAGAACATAATCACTGTTTATTTTTCCCAATCAATACTTACTGTTTAGACAGCAGTTGTTCTTGTAGATATAATAAATCCTTGAGTTCACTTATAGTTTTATCTTCAAGTTTACCTAAGTAACCCTGTCTCTCTTCAGCTAGTGGCATGATCAGATTTCTACTTTAATCTCTAACTGGAGTATATATTATATGGGTAAACTCAAAACGATCAACATCAATAACACAGTAAGTTAAAGCAATAACTGTCAATACAGTGGCCAGGGAATAAAATATGTAGTTGCTGGACTGTTTGTTACACAAAAAGCTTACCTAGAGCAAAAACATTGCCAATTAAGAAAAAGGTTCACATTGTAGTCAATACTAATAATATTATGGTAATTCATTCAAATATTATCAATGACAGTAGGCTATAGTAATGGTTTCCTCCAAATCAGCAAAGAAGGGTGCTTAACCCCACTCTTTTTATTTATCCGGTACCTGCTTCTCTTCTACCTTTTTGATTTGCCCAACTGCCCCTCGGGCCCTTGCCCCTAAGTCTACAGTGCCACACTGATTTAACCAGATCCAATATTTGTATTCTTTCACAACAAAACATGAAATAATTTACATTGTAAATCATAGAATGGAGCAGAGCCTTTTATGGATGTATATTCCTATATAAGTATTTTCCAATATTATATTAGACATGAAAAACTTTGAATTGTATCTAAGTTAAAGATACATTATGTAAGATTTAGATAAAGAACTAGCCATTCTTGCTATAATAGTTCGAAAGTAGACGATGTAAAATGAATAATTTGAAAATTTCATTCAAATTACTCTATTGTAAGCGAAGATATTAGCCTTTGAAGGTTTGACAGACGTGTGCAATAATTTCAACCACCATACTGGTTGATCCAAGCTAAGTCTCGGTCCTCCATATTTGATTAAATCAAAGTATCGCTGAACCATTCAAATCTATTTAATATCGGAGAAATCTGATGCCATCGAGAGTTGATTAAGGCCTGGATCAGTTAATTAATGTCTGATTAATACCTTAGAAAACATTTCAGGCCTAATGCAGATTTAGCTCTTGCATAATGCATGTTTAATTAAATCATCTAAATTTTTACCCTATCCATAAACCTCTAGATCCACGATTTACACATAGTTTCAATTCTTGATTATTGTGACGCTCTGTACAACATAAGATTAGCTCTGTACAACATAAGATTATAGCCTGCCATGATATGTGTCAACTGCTCTATTTGGTTTTCTAAGGGAAACTCTGGACATTCGCTAATGTACTATGTGGGCTTATTTAACTTATAGTTATATGACAACTGTTATTAGCAAAGATAAAGACAGAATCAAGTTACATGTAATACTGTAGTAGACAAACAATAAATTGCCATAATAATAAATTTAGTTGGATTATCAAATTCAAAATGTCAGTCAAGTACGTCTTGAAAAAACACCCCACTAAAGTAACAGAGCTTATACCGGTACACATTAGGCTTTCATTGGCCAATGTATGTTTTAAAGATGGGTTCCCGCGTACAAACTGGGTGATTTAATGGTATATACGAACTAAAAACATATTCAAACTAATTAATTTGTCATAATTTTGCTTCAATCCTTCTCAAACATTGTAACTGCGAAGGAATGTCCTGCTATAAAAATTCGATCAAACCAGGTCATGTCTACGTCACGTGATTTACCTCTCTTGGAAGTCAGAGGAGAATTCATTGTATACATAAGACGATGTTGTCTTTAATCGCTTACTATTTATTACAAATATCGAATCCTAATTAAAATCTCGGATTATCCACTACCCGCATCTTTTTCCGCCATTTTTATCTCAGAAAGTGTTGTACGTCTGACTCTTCATAAAGTTTATCAACTTGTACATCAAGCGCTCAATGTTCGCGTGTGACCTTTGACATCACGCGTGCGGAAATTCCTAATCGTCGGGCTGTTGATTAGGGGAACCCTTACATTTTTGTCCTGTATATGCTCCATGAGTGTTTTTTGGGGAATCCAGTATTTTTCTAGTAAGATTGGATATCTCTACTTTCCATATACCAAAATTACCATACTTTTATTGGAAATAACCACCCGATAAATACTTTTCTGGGAACCCATCTTTAAAGTGAAGTATTCAAGTAAGTACGCCATTAATGTCTAATAATGATGAAGGCTTCCGACAGCAATTACAATGTACCACAAAAATACATTTATTTCAATTATCACTGCGGTGTCTTGGTTTTACACTTTTTATGAAAAAGAAAGGAACACTATTACATAACAACATTAATCTAATGTCTTACTCTTCAAGAGAAAGGCACTAAATTCCTATATAATTACTCTTACTCGGCAATACCATTCAACGGATTTCCCATATATCGGGCAATACATAACACAACATAGCGCCACCTGCTTGACGTCATCAGAAGAATCCACTTCTGTTTATTTGGTGAATAAAATTTTGAGAGATATTTTAATAATATTTGATAATATTTTAAATATTAAAAACTTATGCATCAGTATTTATCCTTAAGTTTAGTTAAATAATGTTGCTATAAAAGGCTAGACGTATTTGTCATGAAATTGTTTTTCAATTTGATTTGACGTTTGACTAACCCCATGAATAATGGCTGATTCTAAAATAGGTTTGAATATACAGGTCGCAAATACTTCATGGCAAACCGTTGGTGCGACTGGATAACCATTACACTTTATTGGGGGAAACACGTGGACAAGTTGTTGTGTATTGTAAAGATGACCCGAAGCGTGTGTAAATAATAATGTGAGATGACGAGATAAATACACTTACCTGTAAGATAGCACCACATAAAAAGACTGTATCTTGAGCAGACGACAGGTTGTGGTGCTAAAAAACTGAATTACAGACAAAATGGAGCTCTTATCAATTGTGGAATATTGGACCACAGCTGTCACATTTTTGATGATGGCATCGGGACTGTAAGATACACATTTTGTTGTTAGTTAAATTTACCTATCGTAAATTCCAATTATCTATCGTAAATTCCAATTATCAATCATCATTAAAATACGATCTCTTTGATTTTGGGTAAACAATAAAAGTCACGATATCGATTTATTGATTTGATCTGCGAAATGATAATATTGCTAATTAATTAGGCTACACATATACATGTCATAAAATTCTGATGAGATTATATGATGTCCAGGGACAATGAGTTATCCCAATAATATACCAAAATCTACCCAAATCCACCCCAATCTACCGTAATCCACTAAAATTTCAAATAATACAGCAATAATTTATATCAATATTTGATAATATAACAGTACCGTTCTTTAATTCTTTATGCCAAATTGTCATTTTTAATTTACAATCGTAACATTTTTGTGTCAAAATGACCCTCAAAATACGATTTCCAAGCGAGTTTGGAAGTTGCTACCAAATCCATCATAGTTTAACTCATATCACAATAAATTATATCTATATTTGATAAAATACTATTATACTGACCTTTATGCTAAATTGTCATTAAAATCATAACTTTTTTGTGTCAAATTCCCCCTCAAAATGCGATTTCCAAGCAAGTTTGGAAGTTGTAACCAAGGGCCATAAATCATGCATTGTACGGAATCACTTGTTTAAAAATTGCAATTTGAGGGACATTTTTATAACAAAAACGTTATGATTTTAAATTAAAAATGCCAATTTGGCATAAAGAACGGTATATTATCAAATATAGATATGGATATAGATTATTATTATACGAGTTGAAATAATAGTGGATTTGGGTCGTTCTACAGTAATATCCAGTGACAGTTTAATAAAGTAAAAAAAGAAAACTATTAATTAGAAAACAAACCAGCATATAAATAGACCTTGCCCTAGCTATCACTAATTGAAATAATTAAACTAATAGATTACATGTAGGCCTAACCCAATTCAACACTTTATTTTGTTTGAATAGCCAAACATGGTATGAGATAAACACCCTTTTAGTACACATTACAATACACAATAAAACCCCCCAACTATTTCCATTCAATATATAATACAAAATATCGCTCGATCTTTGTTGGAACATACATGTATACGAAAAAGTGTCTGTATTGTAAGCAGGGATAGGTTGTTCATATGCAGTCCACCCAATCGAGTCTCCTCTTGTACGAATCTAATTTGATCGCTCGATTTGCTATTGTCATTTTTAAGAGAATACTGCAGTAGCCCCTTGCTTTGTTTTTGATTCAATCCATGTCAGAATAAAATCAAGAATAATCAGGAACCGACCAGCTGAAGCTAGTACATCTGAGTTTGAGGGTTAAATATGAACATTCAGAGATCTTTTCATTGTTAAAACAGTTTATATAGTTAGATACATTATCTCTACAGGAATTGCACCTATATATGGGTTTGAACAGGGTTAATATTATGGCAAGGGTAGTCTTTATCCACATTTTAGAGCAAACAAGTGTTTCGAAGCAAAATGAATCCGATGCTTGTTGTCAAGGGATATAAAGAATGAAATGTAGTCCTCTGGATATAATAGAGATCATCCAAATGTATAAGAAAATATATTAAGATAAGTTATTTATTAAATGTTTAACAAGTCAGTCAGAAAGTCAATGTTTCAATTCAAATTCATGTCCCTAAAATCCTGTTAGTTACAGAACCTTGATAACACCCTCAAAGACATCAAAAGATAATGATCATTGTATTTAGTTATTGTAATAGATTGCTATTGTACAAAATTACTCCTCTAATTGATTAAATGTACATGTAGCTTATGTGAATGAACTAGAACACATCAGATCAACCCAATTCAACACCTTGTGACCTAAATCAAAGAGCTCTATCTCCTTTAATTTTGACATTTTGTATCTTGTGTTACTTTTTTAAAATTTTTAAAGTTTCATTGATAAAATGATTATCAGTATGTATAAATATAAATGGCAGTTATAGCAGCATTAGGTAAGATTAGATAAAGAGCTGACAGTTCTCGCTATAATAGTTTAAAAAAAATAGATAATGAAAAGAAAATATGCTGAAAATTTTAGTCAATAAATCTGCCTAGGTCTTTTTTTCTAGCTTCAGATGTTACATGTATATGAATTATTATTTAAACATTTATTAACATATCCAGCCCATAGTCAACTCTTTACATGTATTCGTTTTTCATGATATATTTTTGAACTATTATAGCAAGAACGGTCAGCTCTTTATCTAAATCTTATATAATGCATCTTTGATTACCTATGCTTTCCTAATTAGGTTATCTGAATGAAGTAGGCCTGTACATTTTGAAGATGTTGAGAAGGATATGATTTTTTAAAAAATGTACAATTTTTATGTATTATATCTCGATAAATCTTTGTATTAATTTTCCATTATATTTTTATTTCGTTACCAAGCAAATCATACTGGGTACTTTAAGGTAATTAACTAACTCCAGGATGTAGCTTACTACCTGTATGAGTTACAGTATTATATAGTTTACTATAGTTTAATAACCTACATACACATATATATTTTCTTACATTGTAAATAGAGGGAAGTTGTCTCTTTTGTTATTTGACCTACATGTAGAAGAACTGAATTTTATATAAACTTGATAGATCTGAATTAAGGACAGTGATAATGGGCCTTGATGTTTTCATCTTGATATGAGAAATGAATAATAATAACATATCTGTTTATCTAGAATCAGGTCTAGGGTAATTAGGGTCAATTTATATGGCTTATCATTATTAGGTGCATCAATATACTAAAATAAAAATGTCAGTGGTATTAATTTTAATCTTTTATTTGATAAAAAAGAGATCACCATTTTCTGTCATTGGTCAACACTCCTTGCAATTGATAGGCCCACTGACATTCATGTGGATTCCATTGATTATACAATCTATTTATAGCAGTATTGAAAAGCCTGATAAGATTAACATACTTTCAAAATAATCCTTGGTAATTAAAACAAACATCAACTTGTTCCTGTTTTCTTTTGCACAAATATATTGTACATGTATTTGTCTTCTGACTGACACCAAATAACTGGTTATATTTGCCCATTGATCAATATGTTTTAGTAAAGTATCATGATAATATATAGTCATATGATATATTACATCTTGGTATAACTGTATATCACAGTATCTAAAACTTTCTAATCCATCAAAGCATTTCTTATAGGAATATTAATCAGATATAACACTGACCAGAAATCACAAGTGATACTGGTTGTATGTAATTCCCTCATCAACCTGCTCCGCCTGGGTTCTAATTCAACTCTAATTAATCCAGAATAAAATGACAAGAATTATAACTAAAACAAAGCTAACAGATCACATAACTCTGACCTTCATGGATTTACACTGAGAGATAGAGGTAGAGAGAAATGGGGTTTAATGTCCACTCAACAAAAACTAGGTCATTTCAGGACTAACACATAGTTCAATTTTATTTCAATAATTCGCTGGCGCGTAGGGGTCTTTGGGAGGAAACTGGATGACCCGGAGAAAACCCATCAGGTTGGACAGACGACCCTACTCCTTGTCACATACAAACGAGAAATTGAAACCACTCCAGTTTACTCAATGACAGACTGTATGATACAGTGTGCACGTGATAACCATTCGGCCATCCAACCCCCCTGGATTTACACTAGCTTTCAGAACTTCCAGTTAATCAAAGAATTATCTGATAAGACTTTTATTATTATTTTTTTTTGGGGGGGGGGGGAGCATAAAAAGATATCATATCAAGGGTGACTATAATTTGAGATATTTATGTTATAGATTTTTAGTTCCAGAGTATCCATAGAATATAATTGGCAATAAACATTGTCAACGAACTCACTAAGGAAACCTACCTGTACATGCATTTAATAATTCTTATTTAATGAATATTTTTCAGGCCAGCATGTTATACAATGTATAAAAAGAAAAGTACCAAAGATGTTCCATTTATATTTTTCTTGATCTGTACCATGAAGTAAGTAATGAATCTAAATGTACTTGATATTCAATTTTATTATATATGGATGTAATCACGTCCTCAATATAAATCAACACATCGTGACAATTAAAACCATTGACCCAGCCTGTGTTTAAATTCTCTTGATTCTAATAAATAGATGACAAAGTATCTGGACAACAAACTAGACTTATGCAATCATGACACCAGATGACATTTTGAAGATGAAGATATTGTGAACTTTGCTCTGGTAGAATGGTTTATATTGTAAAAATACCTACATATTGTAAGTCGGATAGGACATAAAATAAATGCTGTGTAAGAAGATTTAGGTAGGGACTAGGGAATTGAAGAAACCTCTGCACAGTCAAATTTGTTTAAGAGCAGATTGAAATGAAAGAAATGATATTTATGTTTGCAGTTATTATCAAAGACTAATTATAAGATTTGACATGAAGATTTGAACGTTGATATACATTGTGGTACTTTTTTCAGTTCATTGTTTGGTGCCTGTTATGGAACCTTGACTGGAAACTATACTCTATTTATTATAAATAGTGTTGGTTTTTTACTGTGGGGATTTTATATCCTTGTTTATTTATTTGTTAGTAAAACGAAGGTAAGAAATTTTGTCTTGCAATAAGTTCATGTCATAAAATGTATAGACTATGTAAATTACAAATATGACAATATACATTGTCTAGACAAGGTTTGTATATTAATTCCATATGTCCCTATCCAGCATTGTCTGAAAACTGATGTTATGAAAAACAGTCCCATTGATTATCTCCCCTAGAGGTTCTATTCAGTTGTGAAATCATAGCAAGTTATAAATGACATTTCTTATTTGCCAGTCTTAAAAAAACCCCAAAAAGTTGATTATAAGCTATGTTTGGACACCAAATTTTATGCATCTCTAAAAGCAGATTTGTTAAAACCGTGTACAAGTGACATCCAGTGTGCATTTTGACATTTTGTTTTTGAAAGATTATTTTAATTCATTGGAACTACTATATTATAACCTTTAAGAAAAATGCAAACCAAAAGATGAACTCATTGTACAGTATTATTTTTTTTTTAACACAAATATTAAAGTTTTGTTGACACCAGTCATAAACTAATTAGTTCTGCTATTAATGCAAGATGCAATATCTCAATTGTTTTATTTTATGTTTCAGCACGTGCGTGTTGTATCATAAGGCCTGTCATTGAGTCAACTGGCATGGTTTCAAATCCCTGGTTGTACGTGACAAGGAGTAGGGTCGCCTGTCCAACCTCGTGGGTTTTCTCTGGGTCCTCCAGTTTCCTCCCACTGCTAAAGACCCCTACGTGCAAGCGAATTATTGAAATAAAATTTAACCATATGTTAGTCCCGAAATGACCTAGTTTGTGTCGAGTGGACGTTAAACCCCATTTCTCTCTCTCTCTCTCTTATTTTATGTTTCTATTTTGTTGTTTATGATTTTCAGTTCAGAAGTGTATTTATGGCTGTTGTGATGATGCTATTAGCTGGAGCACATTTAAAATATGTTGGATCAATCCTTGATGCCCGTCAAATGACTGCTACATTAGGTCAAATCATGTTCATATGGTCCAATATTCTTACATTAACTCCATTATTAGATATTGTAAGTATGTGTTACCAACATAAAATATTAATGTGATTGTTTATTGTCATTGCACAGATTTGTTGGTCAGCATCTGTTCACACTTTCTTGTAAAAACATTACTGGAAAAGGTTGTTGATGAATCTGTTTTCTGTGTATTCCCTAGCTACATGTACGTTAAACATTGAGATATACTGATGTGCTTGTTTTTAGCTATGATTGGGTGCCTTTAGTTTCACTTGGCAACTTAATTTCGGTATTAATGCCTGTAACATCTTAAGAATAAGTTAATTTTATACTATTATAACTTATTAAACATACACAGCCCAATCTAGTGAAACAACTTCCATCTATATGCAATTATTGTCAATAAAGTGAATCCGGCATTATTTTTATCAAAATTGATATTGATATGGACATTCATAAATACAGTGCATTAGTCCTGCACAACTCGTATCAGGTTAGTACTTTGATTGGCTGTTGTACACGACATAATAATTAGCCCCACCTTAATGACGCAAAGATGTAAAATTTAAGCCAGCTATTATCGCTTCGATTTCAAAGGGGTTGTTTGTACCCGTGTCAGGTAGGATTATATGCTTAACTGTACATGTAGTTGGATGTGGCAGAAATGTTATAAATAACAATAATGAATTGTTGTTTTGAAGAGAAAAATGGTTATTGAAAGTCCGATCTGATATGGATCGGGCTTGGCCAGGTGAATCTATATAGCACTATCTCTTACCTCGAAACATGGATGGTTGAGAGATGAGGTTTCTTATCTATGTATTCTTAAGTACACCAGGACTTTTGTGGGGTTTGTATCAGTCTATCATGAATCCTGATTGATAAGATGACGAAACCAAAATATCAACACTGGATAATCTCCGGCTTGAATTAAAAAGAGAAACATCAAAATATTGTTTGTACCCAAATCTTACAGGTGGAGCTGGCTGATTTATATCGTCAGTAGAGGATGCTTTATGTTTTGCGAAATTTTATTTCTTTATATGGTTGTAAATGAAAAGGAGTGATCCGTTTTGAACTTATTTGCCATTTTACAGATACATCTTTTACAGTATTATAATTGTTTGCAGCGGATTCAAAATCTCTCAAATGATGATCAACTTCTTTAAAGTGTAATAAACTGATTCAAACTGAATTAATTTTATTGCAAAAATCCCTCAAATGACGATTAGTCGCTTCAATTTAAATGGTTTTTTTTGTTACAGGTATCTGTAGTACAACAAGGTACTTCAGAGGGTATGTCAGTATCATTATTAGTAGGGTGTTCCTTAGCATCAGTATCATGGTTTTTTTATGGTTATTTGCTCAAAGATGTATATATTTACGTAAGTATTGATCAAAATATTTTGTTTTAAAACAAGCAACCACATTGGCTCAGTGAGTAAGCTGTTGGCTCGCTAACCTAAGGGTTGCATGTTCCGTCCCGGTGTTGTCAGATAAGTTCTTTTGGATTTTCCTGCATGGATCCCTCTTAATTGTCAGTGATGCAGTACAGAGGGTCTGGCAAGCGACAACATATAGTAGTTTGGATGGGGCGAAAAACTGAGGTCCCGAATACACATTGGCGTGCACGTAAAAGAACCCTTTGCAGTTGGAATTCAATATAAGAGTAGGCCATAGCACACTGCATGGTGTATGACCGTCTTCATTAGCCCAGTCGGTGCAGGACAGTAGGATGTTAAATTTCAGTTCATTTCATTTTATTTCAACAAATAACAAGTAAACAACAGAAAGCTAACTTGCATTGGTAACCATTTTAATCTCCTTGTGAAATATAAGTATACCACTGTACGGAGATAAACTGCACAGCCAGTAGTAATAGATCTAGATTTGTAAGCACACTGATGCATCTTTGATCCTCATACTGGTTGGCTTGGAATAAAACTCATGATTCCAATTCCTGTATTGCAATGTACCCCGTTGTAAATATAGGTAGCTGTAGGATGGTGTGTATTTACATAAAAAGCCAACCTTGTAGCATCTGACATGTAATTAAAGAAAGACTCCGCTAGGCTTTACCAGCATCCTGTCATTATTTTTATTATATAAATAATTCAAACAGAATAAATATCATTAAATGGATCAATCTTTCCATGTAATCACTTGTTAGTTACAATCATTTTATATTACAGGGACCAAATATACCTGGTACAATGGTAAATCTTGGTAAATTTGTTGCATTATTTGCCTACCGAAGGCCGTCACAACCAATTAAAGTTGATTAGCAATCAGCGGTTGAAGCTTAACATTGAATCGTACTGGACCAAAATAAACCTTACATATTTCTTTTAACTAGTAGATGTTAAATATATATTCTTTATAATCTATACAAACTAATTATTATAATCTTAGTATTATATTGATTTCGTACCTAAATGATTTAGTATTATTAGTAGAAAGGAATAAAGTGTGTTGGTGACCGAAATAAATGTAATACCAAGATTTTTAATTGGTCAGTTGATGGGATAAAGATGGTGAAAAAATATGCCGTAATTTTCACATTGTCTTCATACTTTATTCCTTTGTGTTATTATATATTTAAGTTAAGGAAATACATTAACAATATATTCTTTGCACTAGGAAGATGCCTATTTACTGTTAGGAAAGTGGTTGATTGTGGCTAATACCATGCTATGGTTAGACTTTTTGTTGGTCGGTTAACATAGGCATAGTTTCAAATTTGAATTACTTTTGTGTAAAATTTGTGTTAACAATGTGATTTTGTGCTCTGATTTGTCTGGCCAACAAAAAATCATATCAGAGGCAATTTAATGCTGTGTGTCCAAAAATTGGATTTCTTTGCAATATATTGTTAGATATGTAAAAAAAGGTATCTACGCATTACTTGACTATAATAATTTTCAGTTTTAAAGGAGCTATTATATTTCCCCCATCTTTGTTATAAAGATTTGATTTTATTGATTATATTGATTCTAGTCCAGTGATTGAATGTTATTCTTCAACCGAGAATGTTATTGACCATTTTATTATGCAAAACCATCCTTGAAGGCTACCATATATTCTTCGAAGCTCTGTTGTCTGTTTATAAAGTTTTATTTTTTCACGTTATTGCATCTAAACATTTCCTCCATAATTTGGATATTGTAGAACACCTTGTACTCATAATCTCCATCAAGTTGATCTGGATTTAATTATATTTATATCTGTATCAGATATAGTAATTGGATATTGAATCTCTTGCACTTGTGCTAGAAGCTATTTGATGCAAGGCAGCTTTTAGAGGGTAGTAACAAAGGAGCAAATTTAGAATATGGTGTCTCTATGTGTTTTGAAAGGATAACAAGATTACAATTTCACAATACATGTTCAAAAATTTTCAACAAAGAAGATACACTACTACCCCTGTGCTTCCTTCGCCCATGATCTCTTGATAGATAATAAAACTTGTTTAGTGCGCATAAACCGCCATTCCTCTCTCTCCTAATAAAACTATGCTAGCCTTCAAGTTGATGGTTTTATGCCACAAGGCCTTAATAGAGACAAATTTATTTTTACATTGCAAGAATTGATATAAACCATATTTAATAATATATTACAAAAGATTTTTCCAAATTAATTTTGCAAACTGACATTTATGGTAATGCATTATCCGCCTGTGTTTTAGGTAGGAAATTTGGTATCAAACCTTATGAAATTTATTACCTTTATTTAAATTTGATTAAATATGGTTTATATCAGCAATGTTTATGCATTATATTTTTATAAGCCCACATTTTTATGTGGACGTATATTGTTGTCGCCCCTGTCTGTGTGGACATCCACAATTTGTTTGTGGACACTCTACAGGTAACAATTTTTATCCGAGTTTGACGAAACTTGGAACATAGGTTCCTTTCGATAATGGCATGTATCGGTTCGTAACTTCATGGATTATGGCCCCTGATTGTACGAATAAATCACATTTTTAGCTTGTGGACACTCTAAGAGGTCACAATTTATATCTGATTTTGATGAAACTTAAAATATATGTTTATAACTCAACGATCTTGGTTCCTTTCGATATTCACACATATCGGACAGTAACTTTCTGGATTATGGCCTCTGATGGTACAAAAAAATTACGATTTTAGCTTGTTGACCCTCTAGAGGTCACAATTTTTATCCGATTATGGCCCCTAATGCCCCTAATTGAATGAAAAATCACGTTCTTAGCGTGTGGTACCTCTAGAGATCACAATTTTTATCCGATTTTAAAAAAAATGTTTAAATATATCACCATTGCACCAAATTGTACTCAAATTGTGTACAAGTATGTAATACGAAGGTTGTGGACCCTCCAGAGGTCACAAGTTTTATCTGATTTATAAAAAGCGTTTAAATATATCACCGTTACACCATTATAATGGTTAAGTTCGAATTTTGTGAAATTCGGACTGAAACTGCAGGACAAAATGGCCGCTCCTTGTACTCAAATTATGTTCAATTATGTAATACGAAGGTTGTGGACCCTGTACAGGTCACAATTTTTATCCAGATTTGATGGAACTTAAAATATATCCCAAGGCTCTCAGTCCCTTTCAATATTCGCGCATTTCAGACCGTAACTTCTTGGATTATGGCCCCCGAATGTACAAAAAATCACGCTTTTTTGGTTTTTCTTTGCTTGTTCTTTTTCCATCTATTGCAAAATGTGGGCATATCTTGCCTGGCAACAGCTGGTTGACTTTCAGTGTGGATAAATGTGCCATGTATGTCTGTTATATATCTTGCCTGGCAACAGCTGGTTGACTTTTAGTGTGGATAAATGTGCCATGTATGTCTGTTATGTACATTGTTTTTTCTGAGAATTTTTAAATCTAACCCTTTTGTGAATGAATATAAGAACATGTCACTAATTTGAAAGTCTTTGAGCAAGTGATTATATAATTTTACATGTTGTTTTGTTTTGTTTGTGGAATGAATGTTAAAGGGAATATGTGTATGATAATCATTTTTGTTAATTTACTTTATTGTGTTTCACTTTGAATCTCATTTCTTTGTTCTAATCATCAGAACTACAGCATGGTTTAAATTACTAAATAGTTACTAGTTACCATGCTAATAGTTGCTATGATCTTTTGATCTTCAAGAACACTTGTTGATATTTTGCTTTTTTATCTTGAGGGGAAACGATTTAAAAACAGAAATTACTTCTTTTGTCATCTTAAAAGCGTTTAGTGCCATATTTTTAAAGTAGCTAAGTCTGTAACTCAATATCATCCAAAATCTTCAACATTGAAAACACGATTTATTTGTCAAATTAAATCAACATTCATGTTGTGATCTTACCGGAAAAAGATGGGCTTTTGATATCCAATATTTAAGACAAAATAAACATTTTACCATTGGTACACGAATCGTGTACCATAATGCGCTTTAGCCCCAGTTGTATCAAGAGACTCGAAGGACGAGGCTAGACATATTGCACCAAATCAAACGGCGTATGTAGACTGGAATAACCAGACGCTAGAAATTTGCACTCGCTTGAGACTGCTGGCTTATTTCGCCGAACATAACTGATTTGAAATTGGAGTAAAAACTGAAACCATTGAATGTAAATCAGTTTATATACATTCATATTACAGTATTATATGCGTTGCGACCCACTTTTGTCAATTTCTAGGTCCCAAATGTTAGCAATTTAGCTCCTTTAACCTTTGAAATTTGAAAACCAAATATTATTCACAAGACTCTGATAGCAATTTATTTATCAAGAACTAAAGTTCAATTGGTTTGACCTACCAAGTATATTTTATGGCTACTGTTACTCTTTTGTTACAACAGTGCAATAGTTCTACTGATTGCTTCTAAAACAAAACCAGGCTATACCACTTGAAAAAATTTCATTTATAATTTATCTGAAAGCATGTTTTGTTATGATGTCTCAAATAATAAGAAGATTCTACATGATATCAATATCATCTACCTCATCATCTTACAATTCATAAAAGCTTTACATCATTTTAATTCCCTGATGTCTTGACAGTTATATTTTAGAGGATAAAATCCTCTAGATTCACAGTCTAAATTATATATAGCGTTAGTATTTTGTGTAATTAAGTGCCTTCAATGACTTCAAGTTTGTGTGTGCTTCAAATAAATACAAGCCTATATATATAGAATATGTCAATGTTAGTTTTCAAGTTTTATGATCGGTTTATATGGAGGAATATTTTATTGCTTATTTAGAAACACATGAACATAATCCTTTTACGTAAAATGGAAGCTAATGTAACCTGTGTATGTATACTTTCATATGTTTATTTGTTTGGATGGATGATAATCAAGCTTTGTTAAAAAATATACGTAAAGATATAACCTGTTTGTGTTCCACAGTAATAAAAAAAAAAAGAAACCAAAATTAGTAAACAATCCAACTTCCTCTAAATGTATTAATACTTTGTTTACATTGCTTTTAAGTTCTGAAATTATCATACCAAACTGTGCTCAGTGGTGGGTGGAATTTATGTTCAGATCTCATCAAAATTATGCTTTTTGTTGTATTTGCATTATTGTCAGAGGGCTAGTCCATTTTGCTATTATAAGTCGCTCAGGAAATAGTCTCATTTCTTTGACTTGAATCTGATCAGCTGATTCTATTAATAAGTGACAGTCATTATGGAATTTGTTGTTAAAATTCTGATTTCTGTTCGTCAGATCAAATCTAGGAAAAAAGACAAAAACTGACCAAATTTGTCTACCAGATACCTAATGTAGCGGGGGGGGGGGGGATGGCCGAATGGTTAGCATATGCGCGCTGTATCATAAAGCCTGTCTTTGAGTCAACTGGCGTGGTTTCGAATCCCCGGTTGTACGTGGCAAGGAGTAGGGTCGCCTGTCCAACCTCATGGGTTTTCTCCGGGTCCTCCGGTTTTCTCCCACTGCTAAAGAACCCTACGTGCAAGCGAATTATTGAAATAAAATTAAACCATATGTTAGTCCCGAAATTACCTAGTTTGTGTCGAGTGGATGTTAAACCCCATTTCTCTCTGTCTGTTAATGTAGGTGTGTGTGTGTTGAAAATATTAGTAATAATTAAAAGATATCAAATGAAATATGATGTAATGTTAATTTGAGTTTATTCTAAAACAACTTAAATCATTGGAATTGGTCTTAGGTTTTATGTGTTAATTAATCAAATTCTTAATGGGTAAAAATGGGTAAAATGGTTAAATTGAGTATTTAGTAAAATAGTTAAATTACAATAAGTAGCTGATCATGTGGAAGTGGGTATTTTGTACATTGAAGAGGAAATAAAATTCTTCGGTTTTAGCTTTGCTTTCCGGATTTATAAGAATTACTTCCTATTTGTAAATATATTACTTCCATCCCTGTTAGTTTACAAATATTGTTCTTTATAATCACTAACATTCAGAAATGAAGAGCATTGACAATAGATTGTATCTAATTTAAACTATATATTTGTTTCATTTCGTTTCTTGATTCTTTTTTTTTCTTCACTACATACATGTAATATTGAGATCTGACATGTGTACATTCAGCACCCTATGTCTATTGGTGTGGCCGATGAGCTTCAAAATAGATCAGTGAACAATTTGTAGAGTTGTATTTTCATTGGCTGTTGTTGTTGTATAGTAAGAACACAATTCAATGATAAAGCTTGTCAGATGTTAAACTGAGACAGGTTGAATATAAAATATGGAATGAAAAAAGGAAAGAGAAATGAATTGAAAAATGTCTGATCTAATGTTACTAGTTAAACAGGTATTATGTCGTAAGAACTAAATCTACCTCTTGTAGGTCTTTCTTTAGGCCTTAAATGTTACATTAACTATTAATTAGACATTTATTAACATGACAAGACCATAATCAACTCTCAATGCCATCTGATGGGTCTGATTTTAAATAGATTTTAATCCGATCTGCGGTTAAACGATGGATGAATTGTAACCATAAAAATGGATAATCGAGACATTGTTTATTATGGTAACAATGACAATCGATTGTTTTTTAAATGAGGATTTGTTGGCTTTGAGTGAAGTAATTTAACTGAAATTTTCAGCATATTCCCTTTACTTTATCTATTTTGGAACTATTACAGTGAGAACTGTCAGCTCTTTATCTAATCTTCCATAATGCCGCTTTATTAATGACAGTGAATTGTTTTGATTGATGTTGAAAACCTGACAATATATATCATAAATAAGATAAGTTAGTGACAGATCCAGGTCCTTTCCCCTTAAATACCACCATCAAAAATTCACTTATTCTCTTTCTAATATCCATGAATTGTGTAAATATGAACTTTTTTGTTGGTTGGGGTGATGGAAGAGACTAGACCCCACTCGACCCCACACACCATATGCATATGCCACCACTAACTATAACTCATAATTAAAATGTTGAAATATCTTGATTTGAAATATACAGTCCATGGTGAATACACTGACAGTATACACATTGGCATGTAGTATGTACACATAAAATATACATTAAACTGTTATACACAATAGCAGTTATACATAATTAATTATATTCTTTAATCTAAATAATGGCACAATTAAACAGGAATATTGATAAATACAATATACTGTATAGGTACTAGTATTAAACAAAAAATTGATATTGATTAGAAATTTGAAAAAATTGATATGAATTAGAAATTTAAACAAATTGATATAGATTAGAAATTGATAAAACAAATTGATATTGACTTTAACTACATGTATAACATGTGTAAATTAGTTTGAATGCTTCTGACTCTATACATTATTTATGTACCAGTATACGAAGTAGAATTTGTGTTATATACATATATTGGATGTTATATTATTTTTGCACATATATAAAAATATGTTAAAATTTGTTAAACTAAAATGCAATTAATAAAGGTTTATTAAATAACTACGTCTTGTTGATTGAGATGAGATATGTATATAGTTAATGCTTTTTAAACAGCCCTGAATTTTCCCATTAAAGAATTAAGTGAAATCAGCATGTGCTGAAGAAGAAGCCGTAAAAGATTCTGCTACCCAAACTCACAAATAGCAATTCAAGTCAAACTTTTTTTTTTTTTAAAAAAAACTTATTCTTTGGTTCAGTCGTTTATTTTGTATTCGACACAGCTGAAAAACTGTTAATTAATCAAAGCAGGATTTGGGGTTTTCTTTCCTGGCAAACCTGTATCTGATTAGTTCAATAAATTATGTTGCAACGATGCATGTCAGATACGGTTCATTGACCAAAGACAAAATGACCAACCATTTACCTACCAAGCTAAAAGTGAGATCGTCCAATGGGTGAGATGAACTTAGGGGGCCATGGCGGGGTAATTTAGCCAATATGTTTTGTAACGTTGATGTTTGTGGAGCATAGGTATTACAGAATACTACATAAGAGTTTTGTGTAGTTTCTATGACATACATATATTTAGAATACGTGAATATATACGGTGGACTTGTGATATCAACTTGCTTTCGGGGATCCATTATTGTGACCTAGTTATATCAAGTCACGTGACCCACTGAGAGGGAAATACGAACTGTGAATACTGTATTTACATTGTGATGACATGGAGACTGCCGATGATGGTGTGGCGAGAAGAAAATTAAATTTCGGTGCAAGATCTTTCGCTAATAAGACTTTCTATGTGGACGTAAGAAGTGTTTCTGTGAGGAATAAGGTAGTAAAGCATATTCACGATTTAGGAGGTAACGTAGAGACTTTTCTGGGCAACGATATCCACGTTTTTGTTACAGACACCAAGAACAACAAACGCCAAGATCGTGTACGTGAACTCAGTCGTAATAATACCAGAGATGGGAGTTCTTATCCTGATAGTCCATCCCCCGGGGGAAGCTGCCTGCCCCTTAGTCGAGGTAAAGCCCTCCTTCTCAAGGCCAGAGGGAATGGGAGTGAAAATTCAAGTGCAGTGGATCGGGGGCTCAGTAGTAATGTTATGATACAAAAAGCCACAGAAATGGGGCTAAAAATAGAACACGTTCACACGTTTTTAAAGAAATGTAAAACATTAACTGGGTCAAGTAAAATTAAAAGTAAACGCGATACACTTGGCGATATAGTGCCTTTAACTTGGGACAATGATATTATAGTGGTCAAAATAGAAGATGCCTCCAAGTCATATAAACCATTACATAAGCAGTTCAGTAAATTACCTATGGTGTACGCAGATAATGGGGGCGGATCACCCTTTGATGGTCCTGTGGTGTTAGAAAAGCCAGAATGTGTTAAAAGTTTTAAGAAAGCTAAATCGACTAGATTTTACACTGCCAAAGGTGGTTATTGTGAAATGTGTGACTTTTATTTTAAGAATTCATTAAAGGAGCATTTGTTAAGTGAAAAACACCTTTCGTTCGTTGACGACGAGTCTAATTTTAAGGGTATTGAAACGGTCGTTGACAAACTACCAAACATTAGCAAATTTTTATCTAAATTCTGCATTAATCCGCGACCGGCAAATTCAATTAACCCGGTTGATCCTAGTGGACCTACTATTGATAAAAGAATAGAAGATGAGAATAATAATACGAATGAAATTGTCATGGAAAAAGAAAAAGAATCAAGTGAAAAGACGGAAATTAATGATGACGTGGTTGTGCCCATGGAGGACGAAGAACAAGATTTTACGTCCAGTGACACGATTATCTATGATTTCCAAGACCAGTATAAGGGAGATAACTCCATTTTACCACCCTCAACTAAAGCAGACGCCGAAGCTGAACCGAATAACGTAGAATATGCGACAAATATGTTTAGTGACGATTCTCAACAAGATTCCCAAACTGACGTTCTAAAAGACCTGATTCATAATTGGACTTTAAGTGAGGCGCCAAATATATCCTCAGTTTCGAGTCTAGTTAATTTCGACGTTATGTCTTGTGGTACACATGACACCAATGAACATAAAAATATTGTGCCCGGAAAAGTTGTTCCCGGTTTACCAAAGCCTGTTGGCGTGGAACCGTCGTACAGTGACTCGGAACCAGAAGTCGGTATGTCTTTTAGCACTCCCAGAGCCGAGGAAAACAGTTCGTCTGGCGAAATGCCGCTCCTATCCCCACAATTGAATCGAAAACAAACCGCCGTCGAAGCGATCGAGAGAACAATGCCGGTAATCAACGATGATCGAGTTAAGCCCCAAAAACGCAAACACGACGATGTGTTAGACGAGTGTGTGTATTATACAAAGAAAACAGATGACACTAAGCTTAAAATTAAACTATGTAAAGTGACACCCGCAAGACAGAAAACTAATTTGAAAATGTTTTGGAAAGTGCGAAAAACGGGAGAATGTCGACTTGTGTTTAGCGCCGGTAAATCTAAAAAACCCTTAGGGGAATCAAATGATTTGAATAGTAATATCCATGAAAATAGTCCGTCCAGAAAACGACAAAGAACTCTAAACTTTTAATTTCGATTTGTCCAAATCACGATATTGTTACACCAAAGACCATTGATAACTCGGTTATAACTTATTATTTTATTTTGACATTTTTATTTATTTTATCTGCATAATACTCAAACTGACATTTTTGTGGGTCCTGTTTTATTATCACATTTGATTTTATGGATGTGCAATAATCTGTCCAAATGTTGACTCGTGTGCAAGGCCAGTAGGTCTACATTTATAATTATTTTTCGCCTATTTCTAGTGTCGAACTAACATTGGAATCTCAATCCATTCAGTACCCAATTAACTTAGTCAAACGTTGGGCAATTTATAATGTGATATTGTGTTAGTTGTTTCTTTTTTTTACATTTAATTTGTAGGATATTAAACCCGAAAATATTTGTCAAGTGCAAATTGTTTTTCTTCTGATTATGTACTTATTTCATTTTTTGGATAACAGTTATTAACACATTGTCTCTGTTGCTAGCAACAGTCGGCGGTTTTAATAGATCCGAAAGGCTATTTTTATATTTTAAATGAAATCCCGAACCTTTGTGCTATGTTTACACAGAGAAGACCATTTCTTATTTGTGTTATAAATTTCAAACTGGACTACATGCGTTTTAAGTAGGCGCTTGAATCTAAACAAAAATCCATTTTCTTGTATACCAGTACACCATTTTAATTGACATAATATAGTGAAATTCTGCAATTACATTCACGTTACTTTTATTATGATGTGTAATAATATTGTTAATACGTTTTTTTTTGTAATAAATTCATGCTAAGTTTGTTTCGTTTTTCTCTTAATTTTCATTGGTCACTATTACATGCCATTTATAATTTTGAAAATATCTTTTAGACCCGATTAATAAGTGTGTGGTGGGGGGGGGGGCGAACCAAATACAACAATTTTTTGATTAGAATTGATAAAATGGGTCTGGATTTAGTCTTTCTGCCACGTTTTGGCATAATTTTTGATCAAGAGTTTAATGCGAAAGGTTGAGAATATAAACCGGCATGGTATGAAAAATTAAACTTCAAATTTGATGGCATACATAGGGTAGTTAGTAGGCATTTATGTTAGATCGGCAACCCACTTCAAGATCTTTGTTAGATGCTTGTGATCTATTGATCTCGTTGTGGGTAAAACGGTTAGAATCTGCCACATGCTTTTAAATGTTATATCGCAAGATACACACCGATTTTAACATTGAAGTCAATCCAGACTAGAACTGTGGTGTGGTTCCATCGGAGTCGCTTTCAACGGTGTTGTCTCCCTTCACTCATACAGCTATTTTGTAGATCCACCGGAGTCGCTTTCAATGGTGTTGTCTCCCTTCACTCAAGATATTTTGTAGACAACCCAAAAAAACGCAGTCTGCAGTAAAACGTTTTGGCCAATTTATGTAGGTTTTAGCTTCGTGGATACAAAGTTTTAGTCACAGATAAAAAGTTTATAGAGTTCGACAGCCGGACAATATCGGAAATAACAATTAGTTTCAAGAGCATTAATTCGACCACCATAATCCCGAAAGTCGACAGAGATCTTACAATTAACATTGTTTTTAATGTTTTTTGCTTTAACCAAGGGATAAACGTGGTATGTTTTATCAATTCCACTTAGTTAAGTCTGCATGAGGCTGAATAACATTAACACGCATTTACATTACATGAATATCAATTGAATAGATATCCCAAAAAATACTCCGTGAAGGCCACATTTTTGCTGTTCACATAAACATGAAAATACTAAAAAAGCGACCCTCTCAAAAGAATGGTTAAGCAATGTGAAGATGATAAACGAACGAAACACATGTGACCCGCTTCGCTCGGGTAAAAACATAACAAGCATCAAATGTTAACATAAGACACATTTCTCCTCTGACCAGCATTGTCAAAGATGAATTATTGTATTATATTTGCACGACGATTTTTCCATTTTTATACAAGTTTCTTTCAGAAAGTATAGGGACAATTGTATAATACAAAATCTTGGTATAATAAACTCTTACCCGAATTTTCCAAATAAAAGAGAAGTGGTATCAGGTGTTAGAGAAAGACTAAGTATATCCTGTACCTTACACGACACGCACTTGGACTTGGATTTCAAAAGCCCACCAAGAAATAGGATAGTACACAAACCACATGGAAATATCTAGATTTCATTAGAACGGATGTCATTATGCGTTTTACACACATTTAGCTTTTTATAATTCTGGTGCTGGACCCGTCTTCATTAGCCCAGAGGTGAAAATGAGAAAAGAGAACGAATGAGTTATTGATTATGTTGCCTTGTCCCATGGGACCATAGTAGATGGGTGGGGGAGGTCATGGTAACTGTATTCTGGACTAGTCAGGGGTGGTGCCAGCAAAGGCTGACGAGAAAATAAAAATTCCAGTAGTTACATTTGGTAGGGGGGGGGGGGGTACGTAAAAAAACATGACATGTGGAAATCGAAGAATAACAGAAAGAAACACCACTGACCGAGCAATAGTGTCCTACCTTACATCGTTATTATTATTAATTGAAACATACTGCTTTTATTTTTACACCGACGAGGGGTATACGTCATGCAGAGCGCCACGTGGGACATTTTTCCCGTTTCCATCTATCTTTGTGGAATTTTTGTGGAATCCCGGTTTTTCGTCCGACTCATACGACTAAACTGTTCCTACCCAGCCACTCGTTTCTGGGCATTATGAATGGGAAGCCAGAGACCTTTCTGACCAATACCGAAATCGAACCGCCGACCCCCTGTTTAGGAGCCTGCGCCTTATTGACTGAGCAATCGTGGTTCCCCGACGTATTATAGAACATAATTTTTAAATATGTTGGTCTCAAAATGATTGAAGCATTGTATTGACCAAACGTTAAACCCCATTCCACTCCGGTCTTGCTAATTTTAGGCATCATATATTATCTTAGAAATTTGTGTTTCTATATTTCTAATTTTCTGTAATTTGTTACGATGAAAACCACCTGCACAGATCAATTTAATGTCTGATAATAAAATCACCAAATTAACTTCAACATATCTTCGTTTAAAGGTTTATCTCTATTAGAGCGATATCGGTAAATCTGTACTATAACATATCTACTCTAAATGCCTTAAAGTTATGTTTGACGATCTGAAATAAATTGGCACTGTTTGAGAACTCAAATTATTGTGCATTATATGTTGTATATCAACAGATATGAAAATATGCACAATTACACAATCAAAATACAGTCCGGTGCAAATTTGAGAAAATACGCCCACACAGCAGCTAGGTCTCAATGAAAAAGCCCACAGTTATAGCCACCCACTTATCCAAAAGGAAAACTTCAATGTTTAGCAAATTCGATAAGGATCCTCAATGCCTTCAAGAAAATATAATTTCTGCAGTGTTCACAAGCTTTTAGGATCACATACTATATTTGTGGAACAGAAAGTCGCAGCATTCTCAAAATCAAAAGAGTTCATCCTCTCCGATCTCAAATCCTCTCTTAGTGCTAATGCTTTACATCGAAACATCACGTCATGAAACGCCGAATATCGATAATGTTCGTTCTCTCATGAAGCCAATACTCCACCCAAAATTGGAATAGATCAAAATTGTAGCCTCTATTATGTAGTACTATTTGATCTTTAAGCTTCACGTTGCCTTCACTTCCGTGACTAAACTTATAACTACAGTTAGCTACTTATGAAGGGAAGGTCGCGGAACGCTAAATATCGATGGGGATTAACCTCTCATGACCCCAATGTGAAAATGTGAAAAAAATCCATTAAAAATGGTTGACTCCATCGCGTTAACAGGGTTTTCGGATCTGAGGAGTCCGGAACGGCATGTTACGGAACGCTGAATATCGATTAGTTTCGTCCTCCCACTGCCCAAATTTGAACAAATCTGTTAAAAACACTACCCGCTATAAAAGTGTTTTTTGACAAAGGGGGATAATTGCGCAGAATGCAATGTTTTGAAACGCTAAATACCAACGCGTCACACCAAATCAACGCCTTCATACATAACTTATTTTAAATCAACCTGTCCATAACATCATAATACAATGTATTGGGCTTTAAATTTGTTATAAACAACAACAAACTTTGAAACAAATTTGTTAAAAACTAAAGCATCTATGGTTTTAACGATAATATGTATTTTGTATAGGGATTAAATATCGATAGGGCTTAATGTCCTATGACCCCAATGCTTCAAACCAAATGTGATGACAAGCCGTTAAAAACTATAGATCCCAATGCTTCACACCGAAGACATTTGCTAATGAACAGACCGACCGACGGACATGGTTGACAACATAATACGTCCACACTGAAATGTGAGGGTATACAAACTGCCAGGGCCGTAACTAGCTCAGAGCAACAAGGGGAGCGAGAAGTGTTTTCAGGGGTGCTGTAAATATTGACTGACAATGTATATCTATTTTTTTATGGAAGAAAATTTTATCACAGGTGGGGGGGGGGAAACTTTTTTTGGGAGGGGGGCCCCCCTCCCCCCCCCCCCCCAGTTACGGGCCTGCAAACTGCCATCAAATTAGACCATAAGTCCACACCGTAAACATTTCGTCAAAAATAGGATTTACACTGCCAATGTTTGCAAAAGAATCGTAACAAACCTTACAACATCTAAGTTTTACCTAGAACGAGAAAACACATTCTCGTCAGTCACCACTTCGCCATGAAGAACTTTTGATATATTTGAACAAAATGTGTTATAGATAAGATAAAACAAGATCTTATTGTAGAGTTAAATCTATCAAGGACAGCTTACAAGGTTTAGGGTTTTATCAAAACTTGATCATATACCCCTATTGCCATGAGTATTAGTTGGTTAGACCGTTTGTGTACTATTGATTTGAGGACCACTTAAATCGCCAGCACCTTAATAGCTAGACTTTACTTGCAAAAACGTTCAAAATATTCATACTATTATTTTGGAGGCGGAATAATGTTATAATTTGATCTGTATCATGTTAGATTCTTGTATTGACCCTTCTATAACTATTAAACATTTGGTAAACGTATATGTGATCCTTGGGAAAGAAAGGCGCTAGAGGCAAAGGGGGCCCACCAAGAAAAGGGAATACAAAAGTAACACTAAGCGAGAGAAGTTGTTTTAGATATCCCAGTATCGTCACGATTTATATGCTTTGGCCTGGATCTCAGAAGTCAGTGATTTAAATACAAACGTACAATAATGTACCCTCTTCATCAGGGACGTACGTGCTTCATGGTGCACGACCCCACAATACCTATAGGTAACCGGAGCAACGGAGTAGACCTCTTAAATCCCACTGACAAAATTAGTCCAGACATATAAATTCGAATATATTATATTATCGTCCCGAAAACGATTCCCAATCAATTTATCAAATTCAAGTCCACGACGAAACCAATAGCCAGTTTCTTCGTATCCTCTTGACCCAAATCCTATGTATTTTGTGAGAGATTATATTTATTCGAGTCTGACATTTTCGAGATTTTTGCAAAAGGTTCCGTGTCGTGATGTACTTTAAATATGTCTAATTAGGATATCACCGTACTCGACACTCGTTAATTAAAGCCTTGCAGACACACCTACGTTCAAGTCCAACAGGCAACTTCCGACAGTTTGCTCTTTCTGCAGCAAGTGATGTTGACGAGATGCTTCTACAGTACCGAACCCCTTTAACAGATCAGTAATGAGCGCGTGAAGAAATTGAATTGTCTGTATCGACCCTCTCCACAGCTGATAGATAGCGACTATAACGGTAGTATAGTATACATATAT